GTAGATAGGTACATTGTACATAAATACAAGTCTATATATGTATACATGAGGTATATGTATGTATGTATGTATGTATCTATGTACCTATGTATCTATCTATCTATCTGTTCTGTTCTGTTCTATTCTATTTCTATTTCTATTTCTATTCTATTCTATTCTATCTATAGTATCTATAGTATCTATAGTATCTATAGTATCTACAGTATCTATAGTATCTATAGTATCTATAGTATCTATAGTATCTATAGTATCTATAGTATCTATTTATCTATCGATCCGTCTATCGATCGACCGATCGATCGATCTATCTATCTATCTACAGTATCTATCTATCTACAGTATCTATCTATCTACAGTATCTATCTATCTACAGTATCTATCTATCTACAGTATCTATCTACCTACAGTATCTATCTACCTACAGTATCTATCTATCTACAGTATCTATCTATCTACAGTATCTATCTATCTACAGTATGTATCTAGCTATCTATCTATCTATCTAATTATCTATCTATCTATCTATTGATCTATCTATCTATCTATCGACAGTATCTATCTATCCACAGTATCTATCTATCTGCAGTATCTATCTATCTACAGTATCTATCTATCTACAGTATCTATCTATCTATAGTATCTATCTATCTATCTATCTATAGTATCTATCTGTCTATAGTATCTATCTATAGTATCTATAGTATCTATAGTATCTATAGTATCTATAGTATCTATAGTATCTATAGTATCTATAGTATCTATAGTATCTATAGTATCTATAGTATCTATAGTATCTATAGTATCTATAGTATCTATCTATCTATCTATCTACAGTATCTATCTATCTATCTACAGTATCTATCTATCTATCTATCTATCTATCTATAGTATCTATAGTATCTATAGTATCTATAGTATCTATAGTATCTATAGTATCTATAGTATCTATCTATCTATCGATCGATCTATCGATCGACCGATCGGTCTATCTATCTACAGTATCTATCTATCTACAGTATCTATCTATCTACAGTATCTATCTATCTACAGTATCTATCTATCTATAGTACCTATCTACAGTATCTATCTATCTACAGTATCTATCTATCTACAGTATCTATCTACCTACAGTATCTATCTATCTACAGTATCTATCTATCTACAGTATCTATCTATCTACAGTATCTATCTATCCATCCATCCATCTATCTACCTACGTACCTATCTACCTATCCACCTGCCTATCTATCTATCTATCTATCTAACTAATCTAATCTAATCCAATTATCTATCTATCTATCTATCTACCTATCTACCTATTTACCTATCTACCTACCTACCTATCTATCGATCTATCTATCTATCTATGTATGTATCTATCTATGTATGTATGTAATTATGTATGTATGTATGTATGTTTGTATGTATGTATGCATGCATGCATGTATGCATGTATATACGTATGTATACAGTGTGCATATGTATATATATATATAATATGGTAATTTGCAATGTCAAAGGAAGTTTAGTCAGAGAACTTCCGAGTTGCGGACGACTGTCATGGTCAGCATTTCCTTCATCATGTCAACCGCATCGCTGTGTCAACCACCAATCATCAAGTAGTTGGGAAATGGAACAGTTCGGGAGGACGTGAATTCACGGGTGAAAACGCTCTCGGGCGCGAAACTCTGTCTGTTTACGGGTAAAGGTCTCTGTTTCCGCGGGTCCGCGCCTCGATCTGGGAACGTCGTCGACAAAAAGTGCACAGGACTGTGGCGAGAGCTCGGCTTGCACTTCAAAATGTAAACAACCTGATGGGTCCGGAGCATTTTGGAAGATGAGGTCCGCAAAAAGTGCACAGGTGGATGTCACATGAAAATCGCAGAAAATGAAGGGATCGGAGTAGCGCGGACCCCGTGTCAGCGCTCCGCGAATGTTGGTCGATTTGTTGCGACGCTCCTGCTATGCGGGTTTGCGCTGGGTTGCGACAAAACGCATTGGCACGGCTGCGCGCCGGAGAGCAGGTGTGATGCTGTGACGCTCCTGTTATGCGGGAATGCAGCTGGAAGTTTCTAAATGCAGTGTAGCAGCTTCGCGAAAGGTAGTTTTTCACCATGGTTCTACTCTTCTGCTTTTCGGGATTGCGGCTGGACGTTGCAAAACGCACTGTGCTGGCTGCGCGAAGAGAAGAATTGAATTGGGTTGCAGAAGCTGCAAAAGACTTAGCTGGGAAGCAGCCCAGAGCAGAAGAAGCCCAGATAAGTGGCTGCTCAGGGAAGAAGTAGCTGAGAGAAGAGGTGCCTCAACGAAGAGGTCGCTCATTGGTTCATTGATTGATTGCTTCATTGATTCGCTGAATCACTGATTCATGGACTCAGTGTGGTTCACGGATTCATTGGTTAATCGACTGTTCTGTCATTGATTCATCGATTCATCGGCTCACTAGATCACCCGTGCTTTGATTCATTCGTTCAATGATTCACTGAATTTCCGGATCACTGCGTCTCTGAGTCATCATTGGTTCACTGAATCACCGTTTCATTGATTCATTGGTTCACTGCTTCATTGATTCACTGAATCACTACTGATTCATTGATTCATCGGCTCACTAAATCATTCATGCATTGATTCATTGGTTCATGGTTTCACTGAATCATCGGTTCATTGCTTCATTGGTTCATTGATTCACTGGTGCATTGGTTCATTGGTTGACTGATCCGTTGATTCATTGGTTCACTGGTTGGTTGATTCATCGGGTCATTGCTTTACTGCTTCATTGTTTCATTGATTGACGAAGGCACTGATTCATTGCTTCATTGGTTCATCGATTCATTGGTTCATTGACTCATTCATTCATTCATTCAGTTGTGCACGGATTCTTTCATGTCATGTCAGCGGCATCTCAACCACTATTTCCTCATTCGTCACCTTCTTTTTCCGCCCCGGCGCATGCCGGGCAGTATCTGGTATCTGGTATATAAATATATGCAAGTACATCGTGTGTGAATACTCTACACAAAAACAAACTTAATGCATATACATCGTGTGTATATATATATATATACGTATGTTAGTTTATAATACTTATATACATACACTCATTTGCGAGTTTCGAAAGATGTATATACATATACATACATTAAGAAACATGCATCTTGTTCCTTAAACTGCTTGTACGTGCACATGTATATATACACATACATATACATATATATATATATATATATATATATTCTACAGATCATATGTAGACAAAGGGACGTACCTCGCGCAGAATTCTTGAAATTTCCCTTTATCTGGAGGTTCCCTGAAATGGGGGTAGCTGCAAATCATCCATGCTATTTCGGATTTTGCATTAGAAACCATCCAGCTGTTGGGGAACCCCCGTTTATGGACATCCCCGCCCTCGGTGTTTCCCTGTTTCCCGCCTTTAGATTGGCATCAGCCTCCGCCTCAGCCTCAAGGTTTACCTCAGCCTCGACTGCCACATTGGCCACGTTCGGAGCGCCACGGTTCGGCACACCGCGAGGTCCGCGACGGTTGGGTGTGATTGGCACCACATCCTGGGCGAATTGCCAAGTGGTTAAGAACGGGATTCCGTGTTCTTGGGTAATCCTGAAGGGTAGTTTAATCCCCGAACTAATCGTGAACCAACAGGGGTTTTGAACACTGCTCAGGTGACAACTCTTAGTTCCCTTTTTCCAAGCAATTCCAAAGTAGTTTATCAGTTCATTTCTCGAGAAGGAAGAGTCACAGCAACCTCCAGAGAATTAGATGGTAAACAACATGGATTTCTCTAGTTTTTTCCCTACTATCCATTGATCGTAGTCCCAAACTGGAAAAGTTCGGGGAAGGATTCAGGCCATGGGGCTATGAGTCAAAACCCTGGCTCCCAAATGTGCCCTAATATAGCTGGTTACTGATGTTTCTTTCCCGAAATATGGTAATAATCGGTTTTGACAGGTTTGTCCCATCAACGTATACATGAATGTATATGTATGTATATATACATGTGAGCAGACAACTACGTATATATATATATATCTCTCTCTCTCTCTCTCCATCTCTTATATGGTAACACCAATCCAATTACCCCAGTAAACACACTCAAAATAAATCGTGGTTCGTGGTTTCTGTATGCTTCCCAAGTATCCACCTGAAATTCGCTGAATTTGTCAAGGAGACGTCTGGAAGGGGTCTCCAAACCCAGTGCATGCACCATGCGAAAATCTCCCATGACACCCCGGGCTGATGGCAACAAAGATGTAGTTGATCTTGAGCTCAAAACTGCAGAAAGTCCACCCAATGTTCTCCGATTTTTGGATGTTTTCCCATGTTTTCCAATCTTAGACAGCTTGGCCCTTGTTGCTTGAGATCATTGTCGCTGGTGAAATCTCCATGTATGTTGGTTCAAGCTACCTTTATTTCTTAAGAGTTAAACTCATTTCTGTGGGGCATTGACGTGTCATTGGTAGTAATGATGCGTTTCCCCATCAAACTGGTTCATTGTTCACAGCATGCTTTGAACTACGGCTTGTGGGTGGCGAAACCATACATTCCAAAACTCCAGGTTTCAACTGAGTTCATTGTTGATGAAATCACCAGCCAGCAAAAAATGCAAAACTGAAGGACATCTTCAGATTTGGGGGGTGGGGAAACCATGCACTCCAAGGACTTGAAATCATGAGTTTTATTCCTGGCACAAGTGAGTAGTAACCCTCTGGGCAAATCCCATCAATTCACACATTTGCAATCAATGGTCATGTCACGTACGGGTACCAGCATTTCTGTGGTACGTCTGTGAGGTGGTGATTTCAAGCCATTACCAATCTGAAACCACTTGAACTCCGCAACACTTGGTTGGTTGGTTGGTTGGTTTTTTCATCCCCTTCACATCACAATATTCCAAAACAAGTCCATTGCTTCGAACTCCCCCTGGAAAATTCCGTTTCCGGGATGGAGAGTTCTGCCACAGAAATGCTAAACCACTTTAAAGTTACGAACTTCGTGCCACCACCACGAAGGCATATATAGCACCTGGCAGCAAAGTCAACCCCTGGAGAACATCAAGTCATGGGGAATATAAGATTCACTGAACCACAAGAATTTACATGAGGTTTGACGACCGGAATGTGGAAATGATCCCATCCCTTGCGTATAGATTGCCATGGTCAACGGTCCCAAATGTGTGCAAATTCCCTGTTATATAAACCATGGTTTCTCGGTGTGTTTAATATCAAAGGGGGATGGGATTGTTATAAGCAATTATTGGATGTATCCTCAACGCAAACAGACTGGCGACCGGGCGTCCATTTGCACCAAGGGACATATTTGGACCAAACCAAATTTTGTCAATGCGATGATTGTCCTACTTGCTCTTCGTTTGGAAAATGTTGACATGGATGTAATTTGATTAATTTGTTTCGACAACTATGTGGGGTTTCTCTCTTGTTCTCCGGTGAAGATGGTTTGGATGTGAACATGAATATTTTGCAACCAAGAGTGCTGTCATTCATTGTAGATACAACAATTTGTTTTAATGCCTTGCGGAAACTTTGAACATTCAGTTCTTTGCACATGCGGAAATCAAAATTAACTGAGCACCTCAGGACTTTGAAAATAATGATTCATTGTCCTTCCAGGACAATAATTTGTCGTTGCTGAAAGCATGCCATGCAAACATGGAAATTTGTTGCAGCAGGGTTGGAATAAGTTGGAATATTTCAACCATAAATATCATGCGTCTTCGTTTGTGTGAACGCGTTGTGCGACCTGTGGGATCGAGGCCATATTTGCTGGCGTCATGGTTCGTGTGGGAAAACTAAATTGTTGCATGCTTTGAAACCAGTAATTTCTCATACTTGGGGGCCCCATGATCGAACCATTTGCCGCTGCGGCGCATCTCCTGGCTGCATGATTATTCGCAAAACTTCCCGTGCTGCGCCAGGATGCAGATTTTTCACCTCTGCGCGGGGGGCAATTGCAGCAAGAACAGGCAAACAGGCAATCTCATCTGGTGGTTTCAATCTTTCCCCAAAACATGAAACGCTCTGATCGTCGTCCCTAGTGTGGCGGGAAAAAATGACTTAGAAACCGCAAAATAGCGAGGCCCTGTGGATGCATCAGCTGGTTTCCGCGCAGGGTTTCGCCATCAAAACGTTTGTGCAATGAACGCTGTTCTGTTGTAGTTATTGGCTAGCCCAAGGTTTTGACCCATACGGATTTGTCCAAAAACAAAACAGGGCACCCGCCCATGATTTCATGGCACTTGGGGCCCTCATCGAATGTCAGGGTCAATGGCAGCAACACGCGGAGCTGAACGTACTTCGCCGCTTCTCCCTTGCGTCGAGAAATTTCGAGCTCCTGTCACACAAACAAAGATTGATATGCAGATTTTCAACATTGTTCAGCCATTTTGCTTTGGAATATGGTCAGGTGTGGTCAGCCTTGGAGTATGGCTGCGATTCATCTTGAGGTCAAAGTGGGATTCCACAGCGACTCCAAAGAATGATAAAAATTGGTAGAGACTTTCAATCTCTCTACGCCCCTAGCCCTATGTTTGAAGTACCAACAATGTCATAGATCGAACTGTTGGAGGTGTGCTATGAGGGAGTCCTAAAAAATTACCTACCCCCAGTGGACCCCCAGTCATAAAGATGTCACCAGTCTACTCTGGGTCACTCTTGAACACGAAACGCAGAATTCCCCTGGGTTGAGAACTGAACAGCCATCTTGGAGGATGGTTGGCTTTGATGCTTCTAAACATGATCATCTTTCAAACCAATTTCTGGCCTGGAATTTTTCCTCAGCTCGAAGCTTCCATGGCTAGTTCGTGGATTCGGAAAAGTGGTCATCATTAACAAAAAAGGCAATGGCCGGCTTGCTGATTTAAATCAAATCCCTGTGGGTTAGGGAGACCCACAAGCACCTTAAATGGTGCACACATATGGTTTTAATCGTAGAAAAATGGTGATTAGATGATTAGCAACCCTGTGATTGATGGTTGGTTGTGATAAAAATAGCGGATGATGGTGAGACGCTAAAAAAACCTCCTAAGTCCATGGGGATCCATCGGAATTGCTTCGTCCTTCTGAACGATTTTTGTGCCAGAAACATGTTGTAATTTTCGTAGCGAAGTTTGTGATCAATCAGGGGACACCCCATTTTTTAACACTCCTGAATCATTGTTTGACGTAAATGGCGGTGGGAAACTTGGTGGTTTGAAACCATCCCATGCTCAGTTAGTTTAACTCTACTTAGTTCTGTCAAAAATCCACCTAGCCATATCTAACCCCCAAAAACACTAAACAACTCTGTGTATGGCAACCCAAGCCGTGCAGGATGGTTCAAGACTGATCACTGGCCAGTTCTGAGGACGTTTCAAGGTTGCTTCATTAGTCTGACATTACGAAACGCATCTGCCAATGCCATGCTATTTTTGGGTGGTTGCATCTAGGTTTCTTGTCAACTGGCTTGCTGGACCCCATATTTTCTGTACGGAAGATGTATTTCCCAATGGGGGCAACTGGTCGAACAATTATGATGAAAGCGGAATCAAGGCTCAGGGAGACAGCCCTCAATTCTTGATGAACAAAATGCCGATTTATGTCTTGTATTTTTTGCAAATGTAGTACATTCCTGTGGTTCCTGGTTGAGGTAGACTCCCGAAAAAACCTTCTGATTATTGAACATATAGCTATGGACAATTGCACATTTATAGATGAGAAAGACGATGATTTACCTATAGCAAGGTGATTTTCATTCATTTTCCGGCGAATTCCGTTCAAGATAACCAGAAGGTATAACCAATCAGCAAGGCTCTCGATGGCTTGAAGAATCAACAAATACAGGTCTTTACCCAAGAATCTACACACATTAGCGATCAACATCATGATATGTATAAAAAACTGCATTGTGTATATATATAAATATGTATATACATATACTGTATATATATATATACAACAACAACTACAGCTTTTACAATTGGTGGCACATAGCCCAAGACTGCAGGAGGAAGCCCATCACTGTCATGGCACCCTTGGATGCCCTTGGCCTCCGAAAAAAAATCCGCGGATAACATTCGTCCAAGTAGCGCTGCGTGAGCGTGACTTGTAGTAGAGAGTGGTTTCCAGAAAGGGAAACCTCAGCGAACTTGGAAAGGTTGAGAGGATCCGAGAGCATCAGCATTTGGTCAATTTTCCAGGGAAGACTTGCTGCTTCATCCGGGGGGGGGGGCTATGGATCAAAGCTGGGTGTTCATCGCTCCAAAATGTGCCTGAAAATAGGGCACGCCACATTTTCATGGTTTGTTACCATGTTCATCCTTTTCTCTATTAAGATAGCAATAAATTGGCTGTTTATCTCATTTAATTGGAGTACTTGGGGGTGCATCCCACTTAGTAAATGGGTTACACCTTCAGCTATATATGGAATTATAATGAATTACTGGTTGGTGGTATACCTACCCCTCTGAAAAATATGAAAGCCAGTTTGGATCATTATTCCCAATATATGGGAAAATAAAAAATGTTCCAAGCCACCAACCAGATTATATATGGATTATAAACCACTTAAGTAACTTACTAAGTGGATCTAAGTGGGATGCAGATCGAAGTAACCATACTACATCAGACAAAACCCCAAGGAGGCTTCGACGAAACTCTGCAGCAGGGACCGCTTTTACATGGCCAACTCACAAGATGTACCCCTCTGGCCAAGTAAGATGGAAATCCCTGCTTAAATGGCTCAAATCCAGCAAAAAATTCGAATCACAATCACAGAAATCCATGAACATGAATATATCCATCATTGTAAATCCTCTCGGGAAAGCAACAACAAGATCCATAGATTTTCGATCTCTTTCTCTGGGGGCGGTTTGGCCAGCCAGATATCGTTGCAGCATGTTGAAGCTTTGACAGTGGCTACACATGGCCAAATCCTGTCCCAGACCGGATGTTTTTGAGCTCAACACATATGCTTTTTAATCTGTTGGGCGGACAAAAATGAACATTGCAGTGGACTGGAAACGCATCTTCAACTCTGACACACATCCAACTTTTTCGGCTAATGCATCATAATCTGTTTGTTTCAACCACCATAAAAAACAATTCGTCACTGGGGACCATTATCTCACATACTATGGTTCAGAAATCCTGCGCCAGTTGGTAGATGGTTTAGCCGTTTAGCCCCTTAAATAATACAAATTGTTTAACCAGTTTGTTTCATAGGAATCCCAATAGTTACCAACTGCCTGGTGTAGGATTTCCCATCCACAGTATGAAAGAATGACGCACTGGATTCGTTACCCTCTGGTAAACATACAAAAAGCTATTGAAAATGGCCATTTATAGTGGATTTACCCATACAAAATGGTGATTTTCCATAGTTATGTTAGTTTACCAGAGGGTAATGGATTTCGTTATTTCCAACTGTAGTAATCATGTGGTTGGTGGTTTAGTTTCAACCCCTCTGAAAAATCATGGAGTTCGTCAGTTAGGGTTATGACATTCCCAACATATGGAAAGTCAACAAAAATGTTCCAGTCACCACCAACCAGATTATATATGGATTATAAACCAATATAACCCCCATTATATAATCCCCATATATAATCCATATATAATCCATATATAATCCATATTGGATTATAAATTATCCATCTATATGGATTATATATGTTCGTTATATCTTCCATCCACAGGATTTCTTCCATCCAACTGCCTAGTATTTTTTACCCAGTTTTGTGAGTTGAATCCCGATGAAAGCTACGCTTGGTGAAGCCACGTTAAAGCACCATGAAACAACTACATTAAACCACCATTAGATCATATTATTTATATCATATTAGATCATATTAGATCATATTAGATCATATTATATCATTATTCACTACATTAAGCTACATTAAACCATCAATCAGCATCAGCATCAACTACCATTAAACCATCTCCTCTCGTCATGGATTGATGATCTCAAGTCGTTTCATGCGGCACCAAGGACCGACAAAAAAGACTCTTTTTGGGACGCGAGTAGGTCAATGGGAAGGATTATCCCATATATGAAATGGAAAAGAAAAAATGTTTGAAACCACCAACCAGTGTATATATATAGGACAGCATCCTTTTCCATCAAAAAAAACAATCTTTTAGCATCGCAAATTGCATCTTTTTCCCATCGAGAAACGGATCCACCAGGGAAGCATCCTCCGGCAGAAGCAAAAGCACTTCTTTGGTGCCCTGGAAATCGCTCGTTTGGGAGGCCGTATTTGGTGATTTTCAATGGACAATTCAGAAATCTCCATATACAAATAATCTAATACCTGTACTATGTATGTATATATATATATATGCAAATATATGCATGTATTAACATAAATAAATATATATATATATGCAAATAAATGCATGTATATATATATATACGCAATTATATGCATGTATACATATATATATATGTACACACACACACTTAATGCATGTATACATATAATGTGTATATATACGTATAAAAACCCAGTTCTTTCAGGATATTGTCAATATATAGATATGGTTGGTTAACACTTCACATGAAAGTATCTTGCTGAACTATACTAAGTCATGAACCCCTTGACAAACGACAGAATCGGTTGTGGCTATTTCTCCATGGCCAACCCTTCGTCATCGAATCCAACCGATCGTCCCGCAAATCATAACTGGTTAGCAACCCACGTAAGTCTCCATTCAGTGGGGTTATCCTATTTATAGATGGATTATATATGATTATATGGGTTATATTAATGATTACCCTCTGGTAAACTAACATAGCTATTGAAAATGCCCATTTATAGTGGATTTACCCGTTGAAAATGGTGATTTTGGTGATTTTCCATAGCTATGTTAGTTTACCAGAGGGTACAAACCCCCAATTTATTGGGGAAAACTGGAGGAGAGTCCCTGGTTCACTATTCAATTGCTTGTCCCATGGCTGAACTCACGGGGGGACATTGGGCTACCACGTAATTTCAGCTGGTCGAGACGCAAACATTGATTTTTGTTGGTTATAATTACATGAAATACACGAGTTATAAATAATTATATATACATGTATACATAAATAATCATATATATATATACATATACACGGAATATACACAAAATAATATGTGTATTTGTATAATAAAAGGAATGTCCCCAGCTAGATGAGTGGCTTGTGTTCGCCACTTACGCTGTCCCGCACAACAAATTCGGGGTGCCGTCCCGAAAAAAACACGTCTTTTTTGGCGATTCACCCGATGCAAAGCCGTTGGTTCGTTATTCAGAAAATAACGGCGGTGGCCACTGGTTTCCAGTATCGAGTGGATGGGGCCCCCAAGATGCCTGAAAGTGCATGAAGGTGGCTGAAAAAACGATGGTTTATGGTAGATATAACGAACTAGTTAGTTCATGGGGGTTATATTAGTTTATAAACCACCTTATAACTGGGGGGCCCCATCCTGAAAGGTTTTTTTTCCATTTCCTCCAATCGGAGGTAAACACAGGTTTGGGAAAGTCGCCCGCACTGTGAGATAGAAAAGGAAGACAAAAAACCATTCGTCTATGGGGATACTGGTACTTTTTGGTTGTAAAAGTTATATAAGTTATATGTAAGTTATATAATGTTATATACATACTTTGAAAGATTGGATTGGAATGGATTGGATTGGACCTTTCTATCCGCAGCTTGCGGACAAAAAGCAAAAATGGCTGGCTCAGCTTTCAGCTTTCTGAGCCTGGAAAGCTGTCCTGGCCTTCCACATGTCTGGGAGCAAATTGACCTCGCCAAGAACGAATATAATAAAGATTACGACAACCAAGAGGCTGGACATAAAGGCAGGAAGCTCACCAGCAGCCTCCAAGACATATTGCAGTTGCCATATAATAAAAATCATGGCAATGAGCCCAAGCCAAACACAGGATGTTTTTACCAAGTTCAGGTTGGATGGTTCTGCAAAATAGTCGCAGGCTTCGACAACGAATTTGATTTCAGTCAGCTCCAGCAAAACATGTGAGGTCCGTATCCAACACATCCAGGCAACACCTTGAACTGACGCTCCTGCGTTGATAATGGCAAGGATCCAGCACAACTCGAAACTGATCAAGGGTGCCGCCAAGACCGCCCAGTAGGGTTGAGGTACACGAAATCTGGAGAAAGGTTCTGCCAGTTCATCAGCCAGTGGTCCCTTCACATAGATTGTGAATGCCTCGGAGCTTCCATACCATTTGCAAATGCCGGCTTGAATGAAATCTCGGTCGAAACTGCTACTGCACTGCACACGCGTCAAATCGAAATTCCGAAGATCTTGGATCATTTGGCGCTTTTTGTGTAGGATCCTTGGTTGCAAAGGGCACAGCTTGGTTTCCGTGAAAAAAAACCGCACAGTCGGGAACCGAAAATGCACGAGACATATTTTCCCATGAGTTCCCCAAAAGAAAATGATCACGGCACCCACGGCAGTAGTGCAGGAAGGGTAATATAATCACTGCATGCAGCGCGTATGAAAGCTCCTCTGGCCAATTGAGGGCTGGAAAGAGCCAATGGAGGCTCGTCCGGGCATAGAGCACCACCTGGTCATGTCATCGCCATGGTGAAAAATACCAGAGGCGCTGAGGGCTGTAAAGAATTTGGCCCACAGGACCAGGACGAGTGTATTGAAATGTCTAAAGTCGAAAAATAGCATGAAACATCCAACTTTATTATCCAATTGGGTCACCCATTTTGACCCATACCCACATGTTGCAACAAATGCGCTGTGGGTATTTTAGACATTTGCAGGAACGCCGGAGTCAATGCAACCACTGTGGGTCTTTTTGCGGTCATCCCCTGTCATGTTTATAGCTTAACTCATCATAACTCTACGCCATTGAAGGGATGATTCCAAGCCATGTGGCCAGGAAGGTTGCTGGTAGCAACCTTAATCGCTCCCAACATTCCATGACCACTGGATGTAGCTGCAGGAAGGGACCCGCCAGTTCTGTCTCGAAAATCCTTTTCCCCCATCATCATTTTCGATTTGCTGAACTCTACAGCCAAAAGAGTCGGAACTGGCAGGATACATGAAAAACTTTATTGAACAGCGGCCAAAGCCTGTTGGCGACTATTGGCGGAAAGCCTCTCGGATACAAACCATAATGACAATGATCCACAATACTCACAATGTCAATCTACAGCCTCATCGTGTCTCAATACGTCTCATTGTGTCTCATCATGTCTCATCATCGCTGGTTCATGCGATTATTGGGTCTATTACATTTATTTCTGCTATCGTCTCTGTCTGCTACTCTCATACATCTCATAAGGATGACATTTCCCGCATCAAACATCCTAGCATCAACGTTCACAAATTCAACCAGCCCTTTTTTTGGGATGCTTCCACTAGACCGTCATGTCTGCTTTTTGGTCATTGCGGATGGTGACAGCTTAACGCGCCAGGCACCAGGCCAAAGACCAAGCAGGCTTCCACGAAGAGAGGTGTCAATGAGATCTTTCCTTGTGGATTGCATGTGCGAAAGGCGGCCAGCTCAAAGACACACCAAAGCCGATCGAAATACCTGGCCACGCACTGGGATATCCACCGTTTGTGGCCAAACCCAGCTTGTTGTTGTTGTTGTTGTTGTTCTTGTTCTTGTTCTTTCGTTCGTTCGTTCGTTCGTGTTCTTGTTGTTTGTTTGTTTGTTTGTTTGTTTGTTTGTTTTGTTGTTGTTTCTGTTGCGGTGGTTGTGGTAGTGATGATGGTGTTGGTGATGGTGGTGTCACTATGTTTTTTTTTTAAGCTTGAGTTTCCTATGAATTTGGTCAACAAAAAGCAAAGAGTTTCATAAACTTGAATATAGGTACGGCCGGTCCCACAATATCTGCAATTCAGCAGAGACTGCGAGGAAACCTCCGATGGCATAAATGCCCCGTTGCATGTAAACTTGGTCCGCCTGATGAATACTTACCACGTCGAGAAAACACATCTTCTCGCGAAAGCTTGGGATGTAAGGAGCTAGCAACAGTCCCAGGATCCCACCCATCATCCCGAAGTAATGAGTATAGACCCGAAGAGTGCAGCTGCCCTCATAGGCAAAACCTGCAGGAGCAAGCTTGGACATACAAAAAGGCCTAACAAATGTATACAAATCTATGTTAAACATAGGGCATCCAAAATGAACAAAATGATCATTTTCCACACTTGAACTCTTTGGATCCCGTTATGAAAAATGGTCAAACCGAAGTTCCGAAGTCCACAAAACGAAGCTGCTTGGTGTAAGAAGATGGATTGAACATAAAAGGACATGCAATACCTTAGCCGTTCTGAAGGGTGCTTTATCATATTGGCATGTCCACCAGAGTAGAGGACACCTATCCCACTCACACACGAGAAGAGGTGATAGCCTCCACAAAATCCAGAGGATTTGGATGGATTTTCCCAATTTGGAGAAATTTTCCCCGCCCCTTGGCATATCTTGGCATCCGCCCTTGAGAAAAGCAGCTGGTGCAGGTATAGCTGAGGACACTGGGCAAATCTTCCATGAAATGTAAGGGGATTGCAGCCAGAACAGCAATGATCCACCCCACCAAGAAGATAGGCCAACTGGACTGCAGCAGTAGTGACAGGACCTTCCACCTGGGCGGCTTTTTGCGCGCTTTCTGGTGAATTAACCCCATGATGAACAGGGGAAAGATGAGAACATGGCTAAGTATATTGCTACCATGCTACCCCATCTGGTTGGCGGTTTCAACCCCTCTGAAAAATATGAAAGTCAATGGGAAGGATTATCCCATATATGAGCCATGGTCAATACTCACTATATGGTTGATGGTCATCCCATCCATAATAAGGATCCTTATAATGGTTATTATAAATCCCTATGGACCATTGGATGACTAGCCCCTATTAATGGTTATTAACCATGAGTATTGACCACAGCTCATATGAAATGGAAAATAAAACGTGTTCCAAACCACCAACCAGCCATGGATAAAAACTAAATAGTGCCCTTCTTCATCCCCAGATGGACTCATAACCCATCCCCAAGTCTTCATGGCTGGAGGTACTGTACCATAAAAAGCCATATATATATATTGTGATATATATATATATATTGTGATATATATATATATGTATTTTTTTAAATAGCTACATTCTCTTAGGCCTGACAGCATTGTAGCATACCGTGCCACGCCCTAACATGGACATGTTAGCCAAGCCCAAAACAGGTCCCCCTCCGGTCCTTCCATTGGTCAGCCAGGTATGAGACAAAAAAAGATCGAAGCGCTGCACCTGTATGGATCGTTCCCAACCTGCGCAATCCGAAGCAATGATGAAATGCCACCAATTTTCAAAGCCGTGATTTTCGCGGCTTAAGATATGAAGATCACCCAACATATGGGTAGCCTCTGGTAAACGTTCACAGTTTGCGAACTGGAAAATCACAATTTTGAATAGGCAAATCAACTATAAATGGTACATTATCAATAGCTATGTTAAATTACCAGAGGGTAGATGTATTCCAGCATCTTCCTTGCTCTGACTTTGGTATGTTGAACAGACTTTCTGGATTCATGTGCAACTGAGAATGTGCTGGACCCAACAATAAACTCTCCAAATTCGGGAGTTTTTATCGTCCATTTGCTGTGAAGTTGGGGATGGTTTATGGTTTTGGGGTTTACCACATTATTCCAATGATCCATTATTCCTCCATTATTGTTGGCCACAACTCCAATCATGAACCATGATTCCCATGATACCACCAGTTTGTGCTGGTTAAATCATCGTGCTTCGTCAGTATAGATAGACATATGGAAAAATCCCCGCTGGCTTTCGCCACAAAAAGGGTGCCCCCTAGTTATAAATTGCTTTAGAAGCCCATGAATGATATAGATATATCCCTATAAACCTATAAACCAGAGTTATTGGAGTTATCTTCACCAACTTAGCTTGGGGGCATCACCTTGTAACTTTGACAATCTTTTTAAGGGTTTACCACACAGGCTTCCCAGTACCGAGCCACGCTCCCGGCGTTTTCCGGGATGAGATTTCATCCAAACAGCCCCAAAGCTCCTGGAAGATGGTACAATGTGGCGCCCCAATGGTACTTATTTCACTATACGAAACATGGGGTTTACAAAGCAAGTGCTTTAAGGGACCCACATTACACCAACCTACTCTCCATATTTGCAGATGCAGTTCCAGTGAATTAACTAATTAGAAATAACCAGAGTCGTGCCTCACATTCCAACCTATGGGGGTTAATGCATTTTTGACCCATGGTTATTCCCATGAAAACACCCTGCCCATGGTCCTCCAAGATGGATAGATTCAATGCTAAACTGGGGGTTCTCAGGGGGTATGGGTGATATTCAGGGAAAGGGAGTAGCAAAACCTACCCTCTGGTAAACAAACATAGCTATTGAACATGGCCATTTATAGTTGATTTACCCATTAAAATTGGTGATTTTCCATAGTTATGTTAGTTTACCAGAGGATCAGAGGGTAATGTTTGATCAAATTTAGCAGTGTAGATGGGCTGATACTGGGTGATGTGATAAACTCATGCCGTTTTTGTCCAATGTCATAAACTCATAAACCTGGCACTACTCAAAAAATATCCCCCATTTGGATAGCCTATTAGGGATGCCCTGAAGGGCCATATCTCGTTGGTAAACCTTTCATCCAACATGGCCATTGAACATGTCCATGGCTATGTTAAATCACCAGAGAGTAGCCGATTGGTTGATTGAAATCTGATTGGTAGAAAAACAGCCAGGTGTTTTTTGAAGATCCACGGACTTGGCTGAGTCCTCAATGTTTTCTGCAAGCTGATACCTCTGATGATGTCACTCTCCACCTGAACAATGGCCAGGAAGTGGAAGTGAAGATAGTTTTCATGTATGATGGGCAGTATTTTTCAAGATGTCAATATCGCTTATGAATGTATCCATAAAATATCACTTCAAAGATGTGCGCTTGTTGTAACAAAGTAATTTCAAGATGTATATGATTATATAATGTATGATTATATACTGTATGAATATATATGAAAATATATATGATTATATATATATGAATATATATATATATATGATTATATACATATGATTATAAATATATGATTATATATGATTATATATGATTGTATATGATTATGTATGACTATATATGATTATATATGATTATATGATTATATATGATTGTACATGATTATATATGATTATATATGATTATATATGATAATATATGATAATATATGATTATATATGATTGTATATGATTATATATGATGACATATGATTATATATCATGTACTATAATATGATACGATATTATATTATATATAGGGTATACTATTATATCATATTATATTTGCATCTCATGTCCATGACCTATTTTCAGGCCTTGAAATTTCGAGCCAAGGTAAGGTTGCCAAACTGGATCTTGCGATCTTATCCCTTCCCACAGCCACCCAAACTGGGGATAATTGGATTGATGTATGGCTTAAACAAATGGATAAAACCACTTTTTTGGTGTCATGAAAACATATATGGCTACTCCAAATTTAATGCTTTTCTCCATTGTTTATGACTGTTTATGATATCTTTCTCAGGCACAAATTGTAGGCACTTAAATTGTGGGTTTGGTAAAGCACCATTCAGGCTGCACATGGTGAATCTTAGAGACCTGTCAAATCGAAAGTTTACTGTAGCTGGTGAATGTACATTTTACCGTTGATCTGAAAATAGTGATAGAATATATCCCCTATTATAGTATAGTGATATAAATCAAACACACACATATATATATATATATCTGGGTAAATCATAATATTTCAACTATCATTTCTCAACTATCAATCAACCATCATTTATAGATTACTCTGGGTAAATTATAATATTTCACTAACCTGAATAGTGCGGCCATTTGGGGATGATTTCCCGAATACTAACCATGATTCCAGTGAGGGAGAGCAGTGAGGTCTTTATAATTTGCCCAGATTGATTGCAACAGATAAAAAGTACATTTGTCCGTATCTAACAAAGGTTGACTTTGAAACCATCATAAACTTGTGGATGTTTCACGGTTCCCGGACGATTCTTTTTGGACTTTCCCGGACTTCCGCGACTTCTCGTCCCATCTGGGGAAATGCTGGCTAGTGAATCATCATTATCCACCACCAAAAATGACCATACTATCATATATTGTGGGTAAAACAATGCCATAAACCACCCAATTGGGAATGGTAACCATACCACCTATAAAAATGGTGATGACTGGGGGATGGTTTATTATCGTTTTAACCACATGAGTTGGTTATAAATATCCCATTGCATACCTATCATATACCCACTATTTCTTGCTGGAAAATTGTCATGGTTTGTTGGTCTGCCGTTCTATCCCATCCCATCCCATCTCATCCGAATTTTCGATCATTTGCCCATTCAAAAATTAGGTGAACATTAGGATGAGATGATGGTGAAAACGATGATGGGTAATCTATGGTCATCTATATATTAGGCATCATCTCATCACCATCAGGCATCCATCTCATCATATTTTTCTGGTGAATCCCCTTTTTCAGGCCCCTTTGTTCTCACATAATAACTCATCCCACCTCCAAATGCTTCATGTCAATCAATTTTTTCTCTCGGATGGAGCCCATAGATTCTGGCTTCGGCTCCATGAAAGATCCGGAGAATTCGGAAGGCCCGGAGCTCGCTCCTTCCACGGGGTCGCTCTGCTCCTGGCGTCCATTTCGGTGGTTTGTTCGGATCTGGAGGGGATGTTCCTGGCTCAAAAAGCTCAAAGAAAGTGATCATGTCAACTCCGGGTTAATACACCATGGTTTATTAATTGTGGGACCATCCAAATAGTCACAATATGATACACAAATGGTACCCCGCAATTAAACAGCCGCTTGGGGTTTATTAATCCAGAGTTGACATTATTCTTCATTTTAGTTGCAGGAGTTATTCATCCCATTTATACTATTTTATAACTGTGGACAGAAATGTTGAGCAGTGGCTGCGATCTACCTCTGGACAGGGCCTGTTGGTTTTTCTGCTTTTCCCGTCATAAAATAGGTATAAGAGATTTAAGCATTTTTTGTTACAGGATGAATGGTGGTTGGTTGATGAATCATGTGGTTAAAACAATCATAACCCCCAAATGAGGATGCCCCCACACAATGTTTAATTTGAATGGGAAAATCGGCGATAAACCAGTCGATTTGGGGTATCTATTTTCAGCGCTATAACCTGCAGCCCAACTGCTAATGCTACTGCTACTACTACTGCTACTACTACCACTACCACTACCAGACCCTTCCTGATTTCAAATGTAATGCATACGTAGACGAGGATTGACCTACTCGAAATGCTTGAAATACATTTTTTTTCAAGCGTTGGAAGTCTACCTTTTGCATATTCCTGGATAATGATGGATACATTATAGTTTACTAACCTGAAACACGCCCTTACAAGCCATCAGCGCGAAGTTGTTACAACTTCTCCAGATATTTGTGGGCATATGGCTAAACGATGTTCTTCAGATTTAGCAATGTGAGCTTATTGCGTCATGGAAATACGCTGTGTCCAAAAGCAGCCCACGAACATAGAAACATGCAGAAACCCTGGCCGGTGATCCATCCAAAAATATGAGTCAGTGGATATCAGCAATTTTTCACGCATGAAATCTGGAACCTCATCGAAACCAGGAGGAAAAACACTCTTTGGTTTCTTGGAAACTTTTGTGCCTTGAACTTTGCCCCATCTCAAGCATCCATGCTCCATGTTTTCCCAATAGCGCACAAAACACCAAAGATGTTCCATGAATTTCTTGGGGCTATAAATTGATGTTCCAAATACTAATTCCGTTGAGGTATTTCGATTTTACGGGTGGATACGGGTGACCCTGGGGGGCACTGGTTTGTTTCCAAAAACATCCAGATCGCATAGTTCAGCGGAAAAATGGAGGATTTGTGAAGATGAGCAGATGTGAAGATGAGCAGATGTGAAGATGAGCAGATGTGAAGATGAGCAGATGTGAAGATGAGAAGATGTGAAGATGTGAAGATAAGAAGATGTGAAGATGAGCAGATGTGAAGATGAGCAGATGTGAAGATGAGCAGATGTGAAGATGAGCAGATGTGAAGATGAGAAGATGTGAAGATAAGAAGATGTGAAGATGAGCAGATGTGAAGATGAGCAGATGTGAAGATGAGCAGATGTGAAGATGAGCAGATGTGAAGATGTGAAGATGGGAAGGTGTGAAGATGAGCAGATGCGAAGATGAGCAGATGTGAAGATGAGCAGATGTGAAGATGAGAAGATGTTTTACAGACCCCCACTATTGGAAGAACCCTGCGCTCAGACGCTCTCGGGAAAAAACACACGTGTAGTTTATATGCTGTTTTGTTCGTTCCCCTAAACGTGATTTGCCAGGCGTGTGCTAGAATTTACAAAAAGATCTAGCTACTAAAGAAAACTTTTGAAAAAAAACTAAATTCACTAAAAAGGAAGGCGGAGGGCTTGAGAAGCTTCAGAATAAGTACCGAGAATGAATGATGATTTGGCAAAGGGCCAGGGTAACCATACTTATTCTTGTATTCGGGTTGTAAGTAGCAACGGCAAAGTAAAGTGCAATCGCAGCCTGATGACTGACACGCGTGGCGCGAAATCACCAAAAAAACACTTGAAAAAATGATTTTGAGGGTGGCCCCCTGGAAAGCGTGGTCTTCACCAAAAAATACCATAAACATATGCATTTCACGTTCTGCCTGGCACCCCTGGAGGGACCCATACTGCGATATAAATTTGAAATGGCTCAACGGAAACAGTAGTTCCAAAATCTATGAATTTATAGAACTTCCATTTAACTTCCATGAATTCTTGTTCCAAAGCTGGCTTTTTCGCAAGTTCTATAAATATTATAAATTCAAACAGGGATTTCACGATGACAAATCCCTAAATCTTCGGTGTTTCCGCTCCAAAACCATACCGACTGTCGGGGTTTCTGGTTGTCCAAGCGAAGTACCACTTGGTGTGAAATCCAGGACTTTGGATCTCGGTGAATCACCGGAAAATCCCATGGGTGAAATCTCATGCTCATATTTATCATATATCATGGGATTTTGTATATGATATATCTCATTTATCATATTTATCATATATCAAATTTATCATATATCATATTTATCATATATCATGGCTTTTGGGCATTCCCAGAGATGAATATGAAATAATATGAAGAACCTGAATGTGCAGGAGAATTTCTATTGAATCATGAAGATTTCCAATAGATCCCATATTAGATCTCATGTACATCTCAAATGAGCAGTGTTCACAACGAGTGTTGTCTCTTTTTACCGACTGTTTAATGGGATTTCCCCTACTGGATTGTGATAATTTCAGATATATTGGTTAGTATAGTCTCCTATAATCATCAACCAACCATCATTTATCATTTATCAATGCCCAGATTAGCTTGATACTCAAACACCCTTAACTTAAGAGATCCCCTTAATAAATGATGCTACAAAAACCAGGCTTTTCACAAGAAAACCTAGAAACCACTGGAAGATCTCCCTGGGGGCCGACCTCGAAGCTGATCCCCACTTCAGCCAGCAACTCAGGGCTGATCTCCATTGGGAATCGCTGGTTGTTCCAGGCCGGGGCGCCGTAGCGCCGTGGCCTTTGACATAAAAATACTGCAAGATGTAGCCTCTGGTTATGACTAACAGTTCGCCATGGGAAATCGCCATGGCCCATAGAAATTTAGAGGTTTAGCGTTCTTAAAAATGGGTGGATTTTCCATGGCTATGTTAAATAACAGATGGTATCACGACTTGGAAGTGCAGTTCCAGTGAACTATTCGTGGATATATATATATGTATATACATATATATAAATAATATAATAACTATAGTTGTACCTTAGCGTAACTAGGTGGATATATAACTATAGGCTTATAGGGGACCCATATGCCAACTGATGGTTTCTTTTTTCCCCATGGTTATACCATGATTCTTAGCCTATAGCCGTAAAAGTAACCTCAACGGGACTATCACGAAGGGTGGCCTTTCTCGGGAAGAGCCGGCGTATGAACTAAGCCATTTACGAACTGAAATGAACCAGCAAGTGCTACCCGGTCATCTAACGTGCGCGAGATTCTCTAGAAATGGAAGTTTGAGTGGGAAAATCAGGGATTTTCCCGCCATGTTTGAAAATCTGGAGGATAAACCATGTGATTTCGGTGACATGGACCAACCAACATTTAGCACCAGACTGGTTTCTGCTGGTTTCGTCTCCTAAAAGGATCATCGGGTTGCGTAAAAATTCCGATTGCCAGAGGAAGCATGGATCCCCCAAGAAGATTGTCTTGAGTTTTCCAGGATGTCCAGGATAGACGGTTTCCCTGATGGTTTCAATCTTTCAACTGTCAACGGAATGTTTTTCATCGTCCCAAGCAACATGCACAGGTCATTTTACATCCTCACAGAAAGAGATAGTCCAAGAATGAGCCCCTGGTATTGAATGCTATTGGGTGTTCGATCGAGTTATATTCATTGGATTGGTTTAAGGGAAAATTTACAGGAAACCCCTATGTTTAATGGTAAAAACCATGGTCTCCTGTAAATTTTCCCTTAAACCAATCCAATGATATATCAGTTATTCATCATTTTCATATCGTCCCAATCACATCCCTATCATGCTCGGTTTGAAAAAAACCATCGTTGGCTCGTTGGTTTAACCCCCCCTCCCATGGCTGGTGGCTGGCTGGTGGTCGTTTCTGGCACCACCTCATGGTTGAAAAAAATCAACAAACAGGAAGCCACCGATCAGAAAGTAATTTTTAATTAGATATCTGGATAAATCGCTGCTTTATTTCATATATATCCAGGATATCCAGATATCTGGATCTATGGTGAGGTCAAATGGGTTTGCTCTAAGTTGCACAAATGGTTCTGAACATGGAGCACACCGCCCATCAAAGATAGTTGTTTTGATCGGGAAAATGAGGATCAACGACTGGACTCAGGGTATGTTTTTGTGTTTTTCCACAACTTCAAAGGACAAACACCAAGGCTCTCTATTTTTTGGTGGAGAAAACCATGCCTAGCATCATCTTCCACCAGCAGTGCCCTCAGTCCCTTGATAACTGGTTACCAGGATTTCCCGTGGATTCTGATTCTACCCAAGAAAAAAAGGTAAGTATTCATCCCCGCACTAAGCATCAACCAAGCATCATTTATCAATGCAATCCCCATATGTTTAATAATTAAAGCATATTAAAGTCCCCATTGAAAGCAAACATCATCAATGATATTCCCTTTTCATACTTAAAATCACCTTATAAACTTATTAAAATCCCCTAGCCTATGATGGTTAAAACATTAAAGACACTTTTTAAATCTTTTTAACATCCCATTAACAAAATGATGGAGTTAAAGCCTTATCTGTATCGCGTCTGCTCCATTCAAACGCCCAGCCTGGTGTTGACATAAGAACTGCTCAGTGAACATGTCCGTATGTAAGCCTCGGCCCCGGCGGTGCTGAGGCTTAGCTGAGGCTTAGCTAAGTCGCATTGGTAATCTGGGTGAACAGAGAACAACAACCATAAAGGGACAGGATTTTTAGGATCCAATGGGATAGATAAATATAGATCAATTATAAATATATGTATATATATATATGTATATATACATACATATATACATATATATATACATATGTATATATACATATGTATATATACATATATGTATATTTATAAATAAATAAATATATATATATAAAATTAATTGACAAAGAATGGCATAAATAACTTAACAAACATCAACACAGTGATATTAAAATCTGTGCCTGAAAATTGGATTCACATGCCCCAGTTGTGATGGATTTTCTGGTCGGATCATCCCACTTAGCGCTTCGTCTGGAGCTAGTACTCAGCAATGCGTGGGGTTATATATGGGTTATATAAATATATATATATATATATGGATTGTATGGATTATATGGGTTATATACTGGATATATATATATATGGATTATGTGGGTTATATATGGGTTATATATATATGGATTGTATGGATTATATATGGGTTATATATATATATGGATTATATGGGTTATATATGGATTTATATATGGATTGTATGGATTATATGGGTTATATATGGGTTATATAAGGATTATATGGGTTATATATGGATTTATATATGGATTGTATGGATTATATGGGTTATATATGGGTTATATATATATATATATATAGATTGTATGGATTATATGGGTTATATATGTGATATATATATATATACGGATTATATGGGTTATATATGGATTTATATATGGGATTGTATGGACTATATGGGTTATATATGGGTTCATATGGGTTCTATGGTTACTAACCCGCAATGACAATTCCAATGATCAATGGCATCACCCCATATTGAGCATCCCAGTGAGTTTGTCCCCAGAAACTGTTGGTAGGTCAAAGAAACGTCCCACTGTTGCTGGTGGACATCCCCTGATGTGGCTTCGATGCAACATTGTTTGTTAAAACTCATTTTTTGTGGGATCACACCGATGGTTAACTGATTGAAACCCTCTGAAAAATATGAAAGTCAGTCGGGATGATTATTCCCAATACATGGAAAACCATGTTCCAAACCACCAACCAGATTATATATGGATTATAAACCAATATAACCCCCATTTACTATAGTTATATCTACCATAAACCATAGAATTCAGCCAGTTATACCCACAAAATTTCTCCACGGCATGGAGAAGCGTCAAACACAATGCACACCAACCAGCTGCTTAGAGCTCATCATGATTCATGGTGATCTAAATAAACCGGGACTTTTCAAATCCTAGGAATTTCACGGAATTCTAGGAAGTGACCTTTTTTTGCACATTTGACGATGTGATTTATTGATCAAAACTCCGTATATTTGTCTCAATTTCCTTGAAATCCAAAACCAATTTAATCTGGGTAAATTTCAATATTTCACTAACCTAAATAGTGCGGCTATTTGGGGATGATTTCCCTTATTGACCCAGATTTAATGGAATATTCATGGGATATGGCATGATTTTGTCCCCACACCGGTCAGCTTTTTGGGAAGGAAAATCCCACCGCACTTCGATGATTCTCCCGCTCGGCCACGGGGAATTTCCCGCTAGCCATGGAGCTGATGGCCGGCGGGTAATTAACCACTGGTTACCAACCATGATTAACCATTATTAACCATCATCATTAGCCATTATCAACCAGTATTAACCACTATTAACTGCTTGGTGGTTGAGCCACCTACCCCCCTGGTTGATGGTTAATGATGGTGGTTCATGTACTGTTAATAATGCTTAATATGATGGTTATTATATGGTTAATGATGGTTAATAATAATCTGGTTGGTGGTTTCAACCTACCCCTCTGAAAAACGATGGAGTTCGTCAGTTGGGATGATGACATTCCCAACTGAATGGAAAAATTAAAAAAACGTTCCGAACCACCAACCAGCTTAAAAAAGTGAATCTTTCGCTGCGGGATAAAATCCTTTCCTCACTGCTTCGCACGTTTCATCACCAGCATGTTCGTCCCCTTGACCTCTTGACCAAGCTTCAAGAAACTAACTACCCTCCAAACGTGGCAATGGACACTTCCCCACTTAGAGGTGCTTTTCCCAGCGAAACCCTCCATTTCGTGAAACAGTCCATTGCCACAAAAAGACACCGGAGGACATCCATAGGTTTCACCATGTTTCAGATACCGTGATGAACCAAAAATTGCTGTTTGGAACCAGGAATTCTTGGACCGACCGGATCCGGGTCATCGGACGTTTTCTCCATGAAACTTGCTGAAGTGGGTGAAAACAGAATTTTAAGGATGTTTGAGTGAAGAATTCATGTTAAAGTTTTGCGGGAGCCTTCCAGTCCAAACAGCTTGAGAAAATCATTTACCCCATGATTTGATAGACATAGTGGACTATAAACGTGTCACAGTAGTTGGAGCAACCCCCAGATTTCAATTTGCGACTTAGTTTCATCCTTTCTCCCAGATTTCGATCCTGAGGTCACTGAATTTTTCCAGAGTGATGGATGGGGTATATCATGGTATATCCGTAGTATAATCCCATCATTTTTCCATATAGTTATGAGTCATAAGCCTGTACATGTACCTCTAACGTCAAAATAGCTGGGATTTATGGATGTTCATACCCTAAAAATGAAATTTATGGGTTATAGGTATTGATCCATAGCCGTACAGGATGGTGCCCCACAGTTATGTTTGTTGGTTTATAAACCATAACATAACCCCCATTAACTAGTTCGTTATATCTACCATAAACCCAATCGAATTCAGCCACTTATACTTGTTGGTGGTTTCAACCCCTCTGAAGAATATTAGTCAGTTGGGATCACTATTCCCAATATATGAAAAAATGTTCCAAACCACCAACCAGATTATATATGGATTATAAACCAATATATCCCCCGTTTACTATAGTTATATCTATCATTATACCCTCTGGTAAACTAACATAGCTATGGAAAATCACCATTTATAATAGGTAGATCAACTATTTCGACTGGGCCAATTTTCCATAGCTATGTTACATTACCAGAGGGTTTTTTCGTCATCTTAGCACAGAAAAAGGGGCAATGGATATCCCCATGAGATCCATCAAAACCACGTGGCCGAAGTTGTTCCCAGTGCTGCCCATCCAATAAGCCACCTGCCAGGCCATGAGGTGTCGAGTTCGTCGAGTTCTGTACCACTTGAATGGTGAACAACTACTTACTGGTTGGTGGTATACCTACCCCTCTGAAAAATATGAAAGTCAATGGGAAGGATTATCCCATATATTATGGAAAAAAATGTTCCAAACCACCAACCAGTACTTACTGGTGCTGAGTAGGGAATTGATGGGAATGGGGGAATGGGGGAATGGGGGAATGAGATTATTATTACTAGTGATTATGGATCATTCCCTCATTCCCTGCGTTTAGCACCAGTAAGACTATAATGAGATATCTATAACTTATGATGATATATTATAAACTATATAAACCCTAATATTTGAGATAGATATGATAGATATTCATATAGGTATAGACTATATAGAATGGACATACTGGGCATAATAGTGTTTTATGTTTTCGTGGACTATAAAATTTTTCCAAATGGAAGATTGATCCATTACCGGTGTCATGGCAGGGCCGGAAAATCCCAAAGATTTTCATCAATTCACCGGCTTGACGACTGGATGAAACATGGGGTTTTATTAGCTATGTAAGGGTTTCCTAAATTGGGGGTACCCTAAAATGTTTTTTTCCTGGGAAAATCACGAAAATCCAATCTATAAATGGATGATTAGGGGATACTGTAGCCCTATTTCAGGAAACCCCCATATGACTTCGGTTTTACCTCCATATATTTGTCATTCATCTGGCAAAGTTCTCATAATTCACTCACCTGAATAGTGCGACCATCTTGGGACAATCCCCGTTGCAGAATTCCCATTCGGTCGTTGCATGCAGATTGATGGAATATCCAAAAAGTGAGATTGGTGGGTTATGATTCCTTCCCCTTAAAAAAGTGGTACCCCATAGATGACGCCAACGAACATAAATTTTATGGCATATGCACAATGTATCTATAGTTAATGCGGGTTATAAACAAACAAACATAAGTGGGGGGAACCAACTGTTTCCCATAAAGATTAATAAAGATCCAATGTTCTTCATATATTATTCTTATTATTATTAATATTATTAGTATCCTTACTTGACATATCACGTTTATCATTACCTTTATCATTCCTGTTATTATCACTATCTACACTTCCCCTTTGATGCGGTTGAACCAATGTCATAAACCAAACATGTGGAAATGGTAACCACGCCACATCACGCCACCTATAAAAAAGGTGAGTCATTGGGGATGGTTTTCCAGGTGGTTCCTTGAGATCTGGCACCTGAAACGGTGCTTCATCTTCCAACAGCAGTGGAAATGGCGCTCCTAGCTGTGGCTGTGCCACATCCGACAGCTGTGGGCACTGCTGAAGCGACACAAATTAGACTTTTGTCAATAAAATATTGGATATTTAGGACAATTCATGATCATTGACATGAGAACACAGCAGGAATACGTATAGACTTCCGAAATTGCTCAAAACTGAGCTACAACTACGCAAAACATTGTCATTGGACAAACTTCTCAAACAGGGAACAGAACAAGTTGCAAACCTGAAACATGTGGAAATGTCGTTTTTCCTGTTCGGCAATCCTGAGAAACTGGGAGTGTCCCCCGCCAAATTCCTTTCATCTTGATATCCTGACTATACCCTTCGTCAACATTCCTGATGGTTTAAGAACATTTGAAACCTGTCAGGCAGCTTTTCACCCTTTTTGGAATTTTATAGAAAGTGTTTTGGGGGATAGTTTTGGATCTTGCCAAAAAAAATCTTGCCAGTTTGGGGACAAGGACAGTGATGATGAACCAGGATGTCGTTGTTCGATCCCAAAAACGTCATTGCTTCTACAATGAAACAGGGAGCTACTGGTATTCCCAGCATTCCCAAAGACTTTTTCCAGTCCCATGATCGAAGAAAGTTTAGACGTCAAACTTCCGACAATATGGACAAATGAGAAAGCAGAGGTGGGAGGAGTCAGAAAAGAGAAGAGAAGAAGAAAGAAGATCAGAGAAGAGAAAGAGTCAGAAGAAAAAACAAAAGTCGCGAGGCACTGTGTTTTTCCAATGTTTTGTGGCTCGGAGGGTCGAAAAGTAGGCTCGCTAAAGCGGCGGGTGCGGAGCCATCTGGGGAGATGAGAGATGAAAAATTGCATTCCATTGTGCGGCGAAGCAGATTTCGAAGTCAAAATGTAGCGCGAAGCACATATCGAAGTCAAAAGTGTAAAAAGCTGAGGATCTCGGGGCACTATTTGAGGTTAAGATGTCAAAAAAGTACACGCCGTTGCGGCGCCAAGCACATGTCGAAGTCAAAATGTGAAAAGCACACCATGTGCAGATCACTTTTTGACTTTCACGACACGACAACAACAACTACAGCTACAACTACAACTCCCACTGCGCTATACCACACCACAACTACAACTACAAATGCAAATTTACCACGCTACATTGCACTACGCTAATTAAATGACACTAAATAATTGCACTCAACTACACTACACTCCACTGCACTGCACTGCATTGCACTGCACTACACTACACTAACAACTACTACTACAACTACTACAACTACTGCAACTGCTACTACTGCTACTGCTGCTACTACTGCTACTACTGCAACTACTGCTCCTACTGCTACTACTGCTGGTACTGCTACTACTGCTACTACTGCTACTACTACCACGACGACGACTTACTAGTACTAGTACTACTAGTACTACTAGTACTACTAGTACTACTAGTACTACTAGTACTACTACTACTGCTACTACTACTACTACTGCTACTACTACTACTGCTACTACTACTACTACTACTACTAGTACTACTAGTACTACTACTACTACTACTACTACTACTACTACTACTACTACTACTACTACTACAGCTACATCTACAACTACACTACAACTACACTACATTACACTAATTACACTACACTGCATCTAGAGCTACAGTTATATTACGCTACGCTACGCTACGCTACACTAGACTCAACAACAACTACAGCTACAACTGCAACTACATTAAACTACACTGAACTAACTACACTACACTACACTACACTTACAGCTACAACTACACTACTTTACGCTCCGCTACACTACACTAGACCACACTGCACTATACTACACGACAGTACACAACGCTAGAGTACACTACATTACACTACACTAATTAAACCACACCACAACCACAACTGCAACTACAACTACACTACACTAATTACACCGCGCTACAACTACAACTCCACTATACTACCACTACAGACAACTACAACTGCACTACACCACACTACATCCAGCAGTTGTGGGTGAGGTGACCACTACAACCACTCCTAAAAACACAACTCCAACCACCTTTTCGTCCATGAGTGGATTCGCTCTGCCATCCATGCATCACAACAGCTCACCTCTCGTATAGTGTCGTATCTTTGAAACTTCCGGCACCGCCTTGTGCGGCTACTGGTAGCCGTTGTAAAAAGAATATTCTGGGTAACTTATAATATTTCACTAACCTGAATAGTGCAGCCATTTGGGGATGATTTCCCGAATCCTAACCATGATTCCCATTGACGTGGCGACGTGAGGTCGTTATAATTTACCCGGATAACCATCGATGTGGTCACTGTGTAGGGATGGTCTCCGACAAAAACCAGACCGATCGGATTCAACGTGCCGAATCTCGACTATTGAAGTATTCCCCAAAGATATGTAAAATTTCCCCAGTTCCGTCTTTTTGGGAAGATGAGAAGTGTGAAATAAATCCCAAAATGTCATTCCATTTACTGGTTGGTCAAGAACGGGATTCCCCGTTCTTGGATTATGAAGTAATCCCCAATATATGAAGGGTAGTAGAATCCCCGAACTAATCATCAACCAACCAAGGTTTTGAACACTGCTCAATTAGATTATTCAATCAATAGAGAGACCATGGAACCAAAGATATCTTTTTGTTATTCAGATAACTGGGCTTCAAAGTACCAGCTAATTCTGGTGTACCGCTATCAAAGGCTAAACATGGATAACCCCGAGCTAATCCATCTTAATCCCCAATTGCTGGTAAACAATATCCCACAGTCAAAAAAAATGAATCCCAGTCAATCCTAATATGTACCCAAAGTTTATCATCCCAATATCTATCCCAGTCAATCCCAAGTTTATCATCCAGTCTATACCCAGTCAATCCCAATATCTATACTATCATTAACTGTCCAAAGTTTATCACCGTTTTCATATAGGACTATTGGGATTATAGTTAGATATACCAAGTTATCCCAGTCAATCCCAATATCTAACCAAAGTTTACCTAGTCATCCCAAGATATCCCAAGGTTTTCAGCGCTTTCACCATCCCAAGGTGTCAAAATTTTCGTCAAGAAGCTTTCCAGGAAGGACTCCACCTAGCTTCGAGACCACAGAAATGCTGTGGGGATAGCATTAATGTGAATCTATTAGGATATAGGTTAACCAACTAACAAAATATACCCTCTGGTAAACGTTCACAATTTGCGAACTGGAAAATCACCATCTTTAATAGGTAAATCAACTATAAATGTGCCATTTTCAATAGCTATGTAACAAATTACCAGAGGGTACATTTGATCATTTTAATCTGGATTGCAAGAACTCACCCTGAAATATTCTAAGCTTCAAAGTTCGACCATTAACGATTTCCCTTACCAGCGCCATCATTCCAGGGAGGTCACAGTGCGGTCATTATGATTCATGATTAATCTTCTCAGTTTGATTGGCTAAATTTGAGTGGTTGTCGGTTATGCTCACCAGTCACGATTCATGGGGTATAATGAACAACCAACAATTCTGATCGGAATTACCGAATTGGTCTACCGATTCCATCCAAGATGTCTCAAAATGCTCCAGGACAACCGCTGGAATTTGCGCAACTTACGATGCCCCCACTGGAGTTTGTTTGTCCAAAAGATACGCCATTCCATCGACTGGTCATCATTAACCTTATTAAACTTGTTTACGAAGTCGTGGAAGGGTTCTTGACGTAAATTTCTGGTTCTCCCGGATCCTAGGTTTTCTCGGAGAAAGCGGCCCTTTTGCACCACTTGTATTTTCGATAAGATAGAATATAACCATTAGAAGACCTTTATACGTATGGTTTGGAGGGGGTGGCAGATTTAGATCCTTCTGTAATGATGTAATATGATGGAAGAACATATAATATATCCATTGCAGTGCAGGACCTTTATACGTCTTGTTTGAGGGGTGGCAGATATGTATATATATATATATTATATATATATATCGTTGTCCTTATATATATATATATACACCCTTCTGTAATGATGTAATATGACGGAAGAACATATAACATAATATCTCAGATTTTGGTTCAAAATAGGGTACATGGGATGGAAAAATAAAAACAAATTCTTGTGGATTTAGATGAGAGAACTGTTGAAACCGTGGCAAACATGGGAGAGGATGGGCGAACGTCTGGTCCTGGCAACTATTGTTGTTTCTTGTCTATCTATACCATTGTGTATCCCATAAGTATCATCCTATATCGTGCCACACGCATTGAACAATATCCCGATGATATTCCCATGGGCTTGATACCCCGACACCAGCATCGCCATCACAACATCAAGGGCACAAGCACATCCTTTCCTCAGTGGCGCGGCAAGCTGGTGGATGTTACCCTCTGGTTATTTAAAAGTTCGCTATGGAAGCCATGGCCCATAGAAACAGATGATTTTCCCAGCATTAAACCCTCCATTTATTTCATGGATTTTCAGCTATAAACATCCATTTATTTCATGGACTATAAACTTCAACTTATTTCATGGATTTTTCAGGTCGCAAACTTTAAATCACCAGCTGATACTCTGGGTCTGAGATTTTTTGTGGATGAGCGGCTCACTGTCAGCCATCCCTGACAATCCAGCTGTTTTTTGGGGCAATTTCTCGATAATTGTAGGGAATGGATGGGAATGGGGGTTGCTGGGATGATTATTATAGTTATTGTGGATTCATCCCCTGCTTTTGGCACCTTCCTCCCGCTAACCGTTGGGTTCCGCACGTCGCTCTCAGTGAGGGTCGGCACCTGGGGATGGCGAGGGGCCCGAGATACACTCTCGCAACATAGGTTATCCGATGAAACTGACTGGCGTTGATGTTCGCCAGCCAAAACAAAAAGGTCACTCCATGCACTGGTTCTTACCCGTCTGCAGCTGTCCTCTGAAGTTCTGGCTGCCTCTGGAGGTGCCGTTTCCGCGGGGAGCTTCGTCGTCGTCGTCGTCGTCGTGTAGACTCCGACGTTTGGCTTCCCTCACGTCAGCCTGCAGCTGCGCAGGACTAATACTAATTGTTTTTTTTTCTGAAGGACACCTGTGCGATTTACGACATCTAGTCGGGGATCACTTACGTTCCGTTTCCACTACAACGAGGCAGGAACAACCTGACGCGTATGTTTTTTTTTCTGCAGTGCCGCGGTCTGATTCTTCTTCATTTCTCCATATGACGCATGAATTCGATCCGTGATGAATATCTGCTTCGGCATGAACCCAAGAGAAAATATATAAAGGCGCTTCGATGTGTAATGCAAGCCTCCTCTTGGCGCTCCAGTCGTTCCAGCTCCGCCTAGCATTGTTGGCTGCGTATAGGCAGATAGCTTGGCTGTTTGTGTGCAGACCTGTTCTTTTCTGTCTCTTTAATTTTCTCTTTCTCTCCGGTGCCCTGCTAAGCCCGATGCGTTGAGGTCGGCCTGGAGCCCCTCGTCCTCGGGATTTGTGACGTGTTGCTATCCATCGCATGATGCTTCCCTGTCTGCAATCTGTCCATGTTTTTTGGGTTCTTGTTGCGTCAGTCTGTCATTGAGGTTTGTTCGACTGAGGAGAAGACAGTTGGCACCCGGGCGTTGCGCAGTGGTGGAGCCTGGCAACGGACGTGCCGTTGATAACGGGACCCGAAAGATTGGGCACCTCTGCCTCCGGCACGGGATTGGCCTCGGCTGCCTTCAGTTGCGGCGGCCGAACTTCAAGATGTTTGTTCGTTTGCTTGCTTTCCTTGAGGCCGCGACTTCCGCTGACGCTGTTGTGCTCGGAGTGCTGGCCGGGACCTGCCAGAAGGAGAAGAATCAGCTCGGAGGCAAGCAGTGGCTGGGGGCCTCTGCCTCCGGGAAGGCACCGCGGTGTGGCGGAGTTTCCTCAGGCAGCGAAGGGAGCACTCTGGAGAAGGGTCCGCTCTTGCTCACGGAGGCGCGTCTTCTTTCTTCTTTTTTGCTGCCTCCGCCTTGGTGATGTCGTGGCTACAGTATATAGTTCGTCGAGCTCTCGTAAACCTTTTTTTCCTTTTCTTTCTTTCTCTCCCTCTCTCGGGGGTGCAGCTGAGCTCTGGGCCTTTCGCTTCCTGTCTTTTTCCAGCTTGAGAACGCGTTCGAGCTTGACCTCATGTTTGCGTCGGGCGACGCGTCGAGCGTCTCGGGTTCTCCCGATTTCCCCGCGCGCCTGTGGGTCATTGCTCTCACGCTCCTCTCGCCGACGTTCTCGGCGCCGCTTGTTGCGCTCCGGCTGCTTCTGTTCCTTTTCTTTCCGCTCGGCCTGCCGAGGCGCTAAGTCCGCTGGCTGCCCGCACGAAAGGTTTCTGCAGCGAGCCTTGGCTTTTTTTTCGAGCTCTTGCTGGCGTTTTGCTTCAGCCTTTCTTGCTTTTTCCTCTTTTTCCCCGAATGCGTAGCAAAACGTTACCGTCTGGGGGTCTGGGGGCTGGACCCTCGTTCGCCTCGAGTGTCTCGTCGGGTCGTCGTCGAGCCATGCTGGGACGACCGGTTGCGCAGATGTTTCTGTTGGTCTAAGGCAACTTTTTGTAATTCCCTACCTTTGGCACAAGTAAGCAAATATTTCAATTTTTCTTTTTGTGACCAAAAAAACTGGGACATAGTGGAGAAATTTTCAAGTTATGCCAAGTTTTTCTGTTGGACTAACCACCAACAAACTATGGTGGTGTTGGAAATACATTCCCTGGGCGTGTTCGCGGGTTCACTTTTAGCAACGACTGGTCAACTATGACTAAAAAGATGTTGTAAGTTCTTCTAAGTGGGGCACACTTGGGACCTTGGTAAAACCAATTCTTATCATCTATGCCACTGTGATAATCCCATTTCCTATTGGAGTGACACCTTGGAAAAAAATGGAAATTATATATCATGTATATATATATATACACATGTATATATATATATATGTATATATATATACATACATGTATATATATATATATATTATATACGTATATATATATGTATATACATCTCCCCACCAAATATATTCCAGAATCCATAGCTTTCACATTTGTATAGTAAACTCCCATAAAGAAAGTTAAAACCTCACATACATGTATATATGTATAGATTCCATGTATTATATATATATATGTATGTACAAATATTACACACATATATATATACATACATACATATTCCATAATATATATACACACTATGACTATATCCCATAGCTTTCACATTTGTTGGTCGAGTTTCTATCTTCATCTTCCACCTTGTCATAGCAAAGTACATCTCCCACTCGCTTCACGCGACCTTTGCCTGGCACTTTTGGCACCACTGCAATGGCGCTGACTGAAAAATCGTAAAAACTGCTGGTTGGTTGATGGTGTTTATGGTGATTTAATGCGGGTTCAATGGGATTTAACCAACAACAAATGCTGATTCAATGGTGATTTAATGAGATCTGATGTTTAAATATGTTTAATGAGGATATACCCTTCCCCTCTGGTATCAAACGTGGCTGGAAGATCCTCTATGAAATATAAATGGAGCTTCAATCCGAAAACCATCGAGGGATTTCCAGTTGCTATGTTGGATTGCTCGAGCGTAAACGATAATCTTTACCCCAGATACTCCATCAGAAGGTACTTGGATCCGTAGGGATGCATAAATGATAAGGGATTAATGGTAAAAAACCAATAATACATGATCTTGGGAATGATGACTCATGATACCAATAGTATACAATAACATCAGAAACAATGAAACTACTACTATTAACCAAAGCACACATGAATACAAACTGACTAAGGATTCAACGATCAACAATCCAGAATTAATGTTTCGATGATTAACTATTAACAAATAATCAATTATCCATCATTAGAGACCTGAGTACAACAAAATGATAAATAATTGATAGCTAATCATTAATACGGATACTCATAGCAATATGGAGGTTTTCTAAAATAGGGGTACCCCAAATCATCAGTTTTATTTTCGGATTTTCCATTATAGACCAACAACATTTGCGTACCTCTATTTCAGGAAACCCCTACTTAGCAATCATCCAATATCATTACCCGCTGGTAAACTAACATAACTATGGAAAATCACCATTTTTGAAGGGTAAATCAACTATTTCTATGGCCATTTTCAATAGCTTTTTGTATGTTTATCAAAGGGTAAATATTCGTTCCCTCATTGGTTGAGATCCACTATCCGGTGAAACCATATTGAATGGCTCCATTCAAGGAGTCCGGCTTTGGTGTAATCCTACACAAAAGCAAAAAGACGGATTTTTTGGCATTGCTCAAACACGATTGTTGGTGCTATATGGGGGTTTCCGCTTTGTCATGTGGGTACCCCTAAATCATCCAATAATGACGATATTTAGAACTGAAACATATTGAAAGCCATCATTTTGGGGATCCCCAAAAAAGTCGCGCCCAGGAGATCCGCTGAAAAGATGTGTCACTGAAGGTGTCATTTGGCTCATTTTGGCTCAACTTCTGGGTCTATTTCTCAGACCCAAACTTCAAGGAGTAATTCCCCAAGAATCTGGCCAAAAATGGAGCATAGGAAAAACATACCTCCATTTCAAGTACCTTTCCATGAATCTGACCCGTTCACACAGCTGAAAACTCAGCATGGTGCCGTGTTTCGCTCATTTACTCTGTGAACCACATCATAAACCTACCATAAATCCTCGAAACAATATCAACTTGCAGCTAAGTAGGATAAAACATCAATGGCAATTTCAGGAACCGAACAAATTGGAGATACCCATTTGTTTCAGGCCTATTTTTGTTCGGCCAATGGGAATATCCCAGCAACACATCCCAGGGAAGAAATCCATCAGTTCCAACTTGGCCTGATCGAGTGGTGAGGTAGTGCTTGTCCTCTGAGACTCCCAGGATTCGATTGGTTTCGATTCGTTCGTCGGGTCGGTTTTTTGCAGGGCGAACCATATTACAACATAATCATCGAGATTAGCCTATGGTAAATAATATAGATATGAGCTTATGTATGTGTATATATATATAATATGTTTGGTATTGGCTGGTAATCCGCAGTATTATCTTTATCAGAATCTATCATGTGGTATTTGTAGGCACTTCCCGATGAGTTTGTTAACCCACCTGGATAACAAGGCCAACAAGTCGGATCGCTGATCACGCCATTGACTTGATGGATCACCAAAAAACATGTTAACTTTCTGTGACTAAAAACTATCCAAATCATTGCTTCTATCCCCATCATTGTGTGATTTTGTTTGGTTCTATCCCCATTGATGCATATTGATGCATATTTTTCGGTGGCGAAATATCGCAAGTGTTGGATCGAACATGGGTGATACTGACTGATATTCCATGAGTTATGTCGACGTCGGCGATAATTCACTTATTCCATGGGTTCAAATGGATGGTTGTCCCCAATTCCCTATATCCTATTGTACCATCATATCCATCATGTGACTGTTGGTTGCATCCCTCTATTTTCTCATTGAACATTTGGATTTGTGCTACGTAGAATTACCAGAGGGCTGTTTTTTTTTTAAACATAGCCACAGCGCCCCCAAAATGCCAAACAAATGCCAAAAAAAAGATCCGAAAAGGTGTTTCCGGGATGTGATCCTGGATTTTTCCTCCATATTTTTCCAGGTTTCACCAACTTTTCAACCACGAAGTGCCAGGGGTCACAACCGGTCACCTTTCCAGATTGTCCTTGCAGATCTTCTCTGCCAAGATGCCAAAGGAGCAGCCTCACTGAGTTTTTTTTGGGTCAGCCTCTGGAAATTTCACATAGCCATGGAAAATCACATGTTTACTGAGTTTACTGGTTGGTGGTTAACCTACCCCTTCTGAAAAATGATGGAGTGAAAGTCAGTTGGGATGATTATTCCATTCCCAAGATATGGAAAGTCATAAAATTCCATGGTTCCAGTCACCACCAACCAGACAAGTAAATCATCTAGACGTGTGCTATTCTTCATGTTAAACTACCAGAGGGTAGGATAGCATCGCCCTATGAAAAACGCAACAGCCATCCATTCAGGATGGGTCGTCTTTAAGGGGATCACCAATGGTGCCACCAATGGTTCTCATGAAACATGGGATACCGTACTGGTTGGGAATATATGGTTAATATATGGTTAATATATGGTTAATGATGGTTAATATTAACCACTGGTTGGTGGTGCAATATGCGCCCATCTTGAAAAATAGTATAATATGAGTTCGCCAATGGGAAGGATGACGTCCCATATATGAAATGGAAAATAATCCAGTCATGTTTGAAACCACCAACCAGTGATTATTAACCATGATTAACCATGATTAACCATCATTACCTCCAACCAGCTATAGATTCCCCAGCTTTGAAACCACCAACCAGCATACCTCTGGCCACTGAAAGTGGATGGAAATTTCTGAGAGAAAATCCCTGAAAATCCTATATTTTTCAGTCAAAACATGGACTCTTAGGGATGCAACTATGGGGAATATGAACATCAACACGTCACATAGTTTTTTCGAATCCCAGGTCGAGGAGTTGAGCCATGGAAAGGAATTGTGGGTCATCTTGGTGCCCTTCTTATGCAATCGATCTCCGTTTCAATCTTCTAAATCACTCATCTATCTCCCCCAAAAAACCCAAGTATTCAAATCCCAGAAATCACTCATGGAATCATAATATCTAATTAATTCCAATTTTTTCTATTTGTATCCCATGAATCACCCCTTCATATCCCACGTTTTTGTAAAAAGCAAACCGATCTTTGAAGCCCCTGGGGGTGCCATCGACTAAAAAGATCATCGACATTTACGAGCCAAAGTCAGGTTGTTTTAAGGGAATCTCCACAGAAAACCACGGTGTTTTCCCATTAACTATAGAGGTTTCCTGTATGTTTTTAGGACACAGGCGGCGATTGCTTCTAATGTGATCAATGTCCAAAAAACCCTTGTTGATTGCTGAGAAAGGGAGTATTTGTAGAGAAACAGAGTCAGACTACCTGGTTTCTTGTCTATTGGGGATCATGAGATTATGAATTATGTTTCTTGTGCTATTTGAGATTTGCATAAATCATCATTCCACTGAGGTCGCAGTGGGGTCGTCACAATTTACCCAGATATAATTAGAATTCGCTTTTTGAACAACCAGTATTTAAGGGCTTTTCCAGATGCTTTTGACTTCTGCTGCCCCTCTTGATGGTGAACTCCTTGTTCTTGGTGACCCTTGGTGACCCTTGGTGACCCTTGGTGGCTCAGCTCGGTCCCACACCTTGCGGGTCCCAAAAGTCGGGCTTGGCATCGATGACAGCATTCTGACCTGGCGTGAACTTGGCCGACAAGGTGGTGCCCCATAGTTAGCTAAGTTGGTGCCAATAACTCCCATTTCACTATGGTTTATGGTAGATATAACGAACTAGTATTCATGGGGTTTATAAACCAACGTTCACATCACTGGGGGGCACCATCCTGTAGAAATCATGGCGAATTGCCAATATGATTACAGCAATCTGGATACAGAAAAAGTATAATTGACTGATAGTAAGCCAGTTACCCAGTTATGGATGTTATATTTTTCCAGTAATCTGATAGTCATAAGGACATTTGCTGATAGTTAGCCAGTTACCCCAATCCAACGCCCATCGATCCAGTGATCTCGTAAGTAGTGAGGTTGTTATAACTTATCCAGAGTAATTGTTGTTCAACCAACAAACATGGGGTGGGAAAAGCAAAAACCACAACTTCCAACTGCGGTGCCGAGAAAACACTAGGATTTTTTAACGAAACAAGTAGGTCACAGTACACCAAATTCCAATCTATGCATCCAAAAACATGACATATGCCTTCATCCGTAACTGGCAATGGAAGATAATCCTTTTTTACTGATCATTTTCCATCCAGCTTCCCGTTGACACCTTCATTGACAGTCTCATGTTCCATATGAGTTGAAAAAGCAACAGGTGGCTACCGCTCAGCCACAGATCTTGATCATGATATGATGGGTAAGGGGCCAAAAATAGGCAACTCATAGTCGCATCATTGGTAGGTCACTTGCAACAATATCGCCTTTTTGAACCATCGTTTGTGGGTTTGAGACCTATTCTGCGTGGCAAATCTGCGACAAGGCAAAACCAAACTTTTTCTGTGGTGGAGATTTCCCCTTTCCTGTCCCAACCCTTTGCCAATTGTATGCAGAGCTTCGGTGCCCCTATGAATCGTAGTTTCTTCCTTTTAAAGTCTCTGAAGCATTTTTTTTGGCCAAGCAAAGGCCCAGTTCTTTAGGTGGCACCCTAGGGTAAACTAACACTTCGATGTGGAAACAAAAACACCATTTGAAGGCAATTCCCCTGCAAAAACTATGGGGTTTTCTACATCTTTTTCTATGTTTATATACCCTAGCTGGTTGGTGGTTGAGCCACCCCCCTAAAAAATATGAGTCAGATTGGATCAGCATCCCAACTATTTAACTATATTTAACTATTGGGGTAAATAAAACATGTTCCAAACCACCAAGCAGCGAGGTTTTTTCTGGGCAAAAAGACCACCGGTCATCCCATGGCCCATGGCCCCTGGGCCCTGACCTTGATTTGCAACAAGCAGAGTACACTGCGAGGCGTTTCCGCCCTGTTTCGCAGACCTCAGTGGTCAACTTTTGAGATGTCGGGATGTGAAAAACATCTGGAATTCTGGATGAATTATGGTCATCCGAATCCATGGGAATCCTGAAATAGATGCCCTCTGGTAATTTAACGTAGCTATTGAAAATGGCCATTTATAGTGGATTTACCCATTCAAAATGGTGATTTTCAATAGCTATGTTAAATTACCAGAGGGTATCTGGAAATCCCGTGGATTGATGATCATGTCTTTCTGTCTGAATATGTTGAATACAAACCATGTTTTGACTCGACTGTACATATGAAGTGAACTAGCGATATGTGGCTGTCTTGAAACTATCACCCTCAAGTAGCATTTTTGGTGCAGCTGATGATTCAACAGTAAATTAGCCTCTGGTAAACATTCAATAAACAATGGAAAATCACAATTTTTCATGGGAAATTTCGCGAAAAAATCACCATTTTCAATAGCGAACTGTGAGTCATTACCAGGGGGTATAGATACACAAGTCCATCAGTTTCCGTTTTGTCATGGGGGTACCCCCAGTCATCATCTATTTTAGATTGGGATTTGTCATGAAATAAACCATCCAGCTATTAGGGTACTCCCATTTATGGAAACCACCATATTTTGATGTAGACCCCTGTGTGAACGAAGCCTCAAGACTCTGCTGCTGGAAGCGCCTTCAACTGTTTTCCACATCTATCTGAAGCTTTACTGTGGCTAAGTTAGAATAGCTGTTAGGATTTCTGGAAATAGGGTACCCCAAACTCCAGTGTTTTTATTTTCATTTTTCAGATTAAATATCCGCATGTTCAGGCACACCCATGTCATGGGTATATGTAACATACTGTATACATATCAAGGGTAGACTTGCTAAATGCTTTGCTCCTATGGCATTTTCCATATCACCAACCCAAGAAATCAGAGGTGGTGAAGGGAAAATTCGGGGCTCCAAAATGGATACGCTTACTTGCAAACATTCCAGTGAACTAACTGGATACGTTTCACCATAGTTAGAGGGGTTATATCCCAACTTATGGAGGTGATTTCATCATGGGTATACCGTATATATATATATACCCTTAAATAAGTAATCTCAACTGCACCACCAATTACAGCTACTGGTCGAAGGAATAAAATCCAGCCATAGCTCGCTTAAAATCATCCCATGACTACTGTTGATCACCGTAGCAAATGACAACCACTACTGAATATTTCAAGCCAGATTCGGTTGAATTTCCCAATGTTGGTCAGAAACACCAATAATAAAACCCCATAAAACCCCTATGGTTTCTGAGAAAAAAAACAATTCTTTCATAGCCCAAGACTCAAGGATTTCTGCGGCAACTTCAGGTCTTTCAACGCTTCCTGAGAAGGTCCACGGAGTTCACCGACCAACTTTTATGGTGATTTTCTGGTGATTTTTTATATAGGGATTTAAGCCACCACGAATCTCAATGGATTGGTTTTGTTGGGAAAATCTTAACCGGAAACCATGGTTTTTACCATTAAATATGGGGGTTTCCTGTAAAATGTCCCTTAAACCAATCCATTGAGAATCAGGATACCGTAGGGTTTTTTAACTGGGATAAATTTCACAACGATATGATCTCATCGGGTTGTCTCCAAATTGGGGATGAACACCGGTTAAAATGGCACCTTTTTATGGAGGAACCGTGTAGCAACGGACCTACTTATTGAATTTGGCGACGGTTCAGGATTTCAGGCTGTTTGGGTCAAGCACACTGTTGACACAGAACTAATCATTCCCAATGTGTGAAGGATTGCTTGTTGTGAAATGTGGTGGAAGAAGTCTTGCTTGACCCTGCAGCACTGCAGAATGGCTGTGAGGGGGTGTTGCCATTGGCAATGGACTCTGTGAGTTGTTCAGCTGCACGGCCACCTGCGCCAAGTCGGGCTGATGTGATGAGGTCAAACAGCATGGCCCTGAGATGTCTGAAGAGAAGATGATCTTCAGCTTTCAGCATGGGAGATTGTGCCATGCTCCATTCTGTCACAACCGACAGCGCTGCTGACAGCTGAAAGACGAGCAAGTGGGCTTGTTCCACTGGGAGTGACAAAACAAATGTCACCACTGATGCTGGGTGTGCGGAAGCCATGTCCCATCTTCCGTCCATATCACATTCCACTTCTCACTGCGCACCCAGAGATAAGCCTCCACAAAGCTGAAGGGTGTACATTCTATGTTCATTCCTTTGCAGTGTCGGTGCATTGGAAAGTGACCACGATGGACAAAGACTTGCGCAAAAGGGTGATTTGAGGCTGCCTCCATGCTATATCCCCGCCAATGGTAATGTTCCATACGCTGTGACATGGCCGCTGGAAGTGGTCGTAACGTGACCGCACTGAAGGGCAGGGGAATCCGCCGACCCCTGCCTTAGCCAAGGCAGGGGCGGCGCCTGGTACCACCAGAGGTGTGGAACCTGCTTTTTCACGGCCATGGCCCTTCCTTGTCCAAGGCCGTTCCACTCAGGAGCCACGCCGGTCACAGCATTTTGCTTTTCAGAGCGTTTATCAAACCCTTCCAACGCTTCCGCAGGCCTTTCCAAGGCAACTCTCGCAGCTACACGCCCCAGCCATCTGTCTTTAAGGGCGTTCAAGCCTGCCGTTTGCCCGGCCTCAAACGCTTCCAACGCTTCCGCAGGCCTTTCCAAGGCAACTCTCGCAGCTGCAAGCCCCAGCCATCTGTTTTTAAGGGCGTTCCGTTTGCCCGGCATCTAACGCTTCCAACGCTCCCACAGGCCTTTCGGCCACAGCATTTTGCTTTTCAGAGCGTTTATCAAACCCTTCCAACGCTTCCGCAGGCCTTTCCAAGGCAACTCTCGCAGCTACACGCCCCAGCCATCTGTTTTTAAGGGCGTTCAAGCCTGCCGTTTGCCCGGCCTCAAACGCTTCCAACGCTCCCGCAGGCCTTCCGCAGGCCTTTCCAAGGCAACTCTCGCAGCTACACGCCCCAGCCATCTGTTTTTAAGGGCGTGCCGTTTGCCCGGCCTCAAACGCTTCCAACGCTTCCGCAGGCCTTTCCAAGGCAACTCTCGCAGCTACACGCCCCAGCCATCTGTTTTTAAGGGCGTTCAAGCCTGCCGTTTGCCCGGCCTCAAACGCTTCCAACGCTTCCGCAGGCCTTTCCAAGGCAACTTTCGCAGCTACACGCCCCAGCCATCTGTTTTTAAGGGCGTTCAAGCCTGCCGTTTGCCCGGCATCAAACGCTTCCAACGCTTCCGCAGGCCTTTCCAAGGCAACTCTCGCAGCTACACGCCCCAGCCATCTGTTTTCACGGGCGTTCAAGCCTGCCGTTTGCCCGGCCTCAAACTACGCTTCCAATGCTTCCGCAGGCCTTTCCAAGGCAACTCTCGCAGCTACAAGCCCCAGCCATCTGTTTTTAAGGGCGTTCAAGCCTGCCGTTTGCCCGGCCTCAAACGCTTCCAACGCTCCCGCAGGCCTTTCCAAGGCAACTCTCGCAGCTACACGCCCCAGCCATCTGTTTTTAAGGGTGCCGTTGGCCCGGCCTCAAACCCTTCCAACACTTCCGCAGGCCTGTCCAAAGCAACTCTACAAGGAGCTACACGCCCCAGCCATCTGTTTTTAAGGGCGTTCAAGCCTGCCGTTTGCCCGGCCTCAAACGCTTCCAACGCTTCCGCAGGCCTTTCCAAGGCAACTCTCGCAGCTACACGCCCCAGCCATCTGTTTTTACGGGCGTTCAAGCCTGCCGTTTGCCCGGCCTCAAACGCTTCCAACGCTTCCGCAGGCCTTTCCAAGGCAACTCTCGCAGCTACACGCCCCAGGCCATCTGTTTTTAAGGGCGTTCAAGCCTGCCGTTTGCCCGGCCTCAAACGCTTCCAACGCTTCCGCAGGCCTTTCCAAGGCAACTCTCGCAGCTACACGCCCCAGCCATCTGTTTTTAAGGGCGTTCAAGCCTGCCGTTTGCCCGGCCTCAAACGCTTCCGACGCTTCCGCAGGCCTTTCCAAGGCAACTCTCGCAGCTACATGCCCCAGCCATCTGTTTTTAAGGGCGTTCCAGCCTGCCGTTTGCCCGGCATCAAACGCTTCCAACGCTCCCGCAAGCCTTTCGGCCACAGCATTTTGCTTTTTAGAGCGTTTATCAAACCCTTCCAACGCTTCCTGTTTTCACGGGCGTTCAAGCCTGCCGTTTGCCCGGCCTCAAACTACGCTTCCAACGCTTCCGCAGGCCTTTCCAAGGCAACTCTCGCAGCTACACGCCCCAGCCATCTGTTTTTAAGGGCGTTCAAGCCTGCCGTTTGCCCGGCCTCAAACGCTTCCAACGCTCCCGCAGGCCTTTCCAAGGCAACTCTCGCAGCTACACGCCCCAGCCATCTGTTTTTAAGGGTGCCGTTGGCCCGGCCTCAAACCCTTCCAACACTTCCGCAGGCCTGTCCAAAGCAACTCTACAAGGAGCTACACGCCCCAGCCATCTGTTTTTAAGGGCGTTCAAGCCTGCCGTTTGCCCGGCCTCAAACGCTTCCAACGCTTCCGCAGGCCTTTCCAAGGCAACTCTCGCAGCTACACGCCCCAGCCATCTGTTTTTAAGGGCGTTCAAGCCTGCCGTTGGCCCGGCCTCAAACCCTTCCAACACTTCCGCAGGCCTGTCCAAAGCAACTCTACAAGGAGCTACACGTACAGCATCGGTAACAAGAGCCTGTGCTTCACCGTTTCTCATAGGCTTTCTGTTCTGGCACGTGCCATTTCGTTTTCTTGCATGGTTTCCCAGCGGGCGTGTCATGCTTGACGTGAATGTCCCCGAACGAACGGGATGACCACACGACAACAGTTTCACATACCGGGCACGAGTGGGCATGGCGCCGCGTCTCTCTGCTGACATGGCCCTCCTTCATGGCCCTCTTCAAACGGGCCGCTGATTCCTACACCGGGGCGCCCTTGAAAGGGGGTCGGCGGCACCAGGGCGTTAGCCCATTCTATTCCAGGAGACTCAAGGAGAGGCAACCAGCAACCTTCGACGACGATGGGGAAATTTGATCATATTCTCTGTGGCCGTTGCATTGGTACTTACCAACCACGATGTATTTACAGTTTACAGTGAGGAATATAGCCACATTTTGTGGTGTTTCTTGAGAGTACAGTAACATCAGTAACATCCACATTGTTTTGATAATTATCCCAATTGTATGTGTTTAGATACCAATCCATTCTTGACTACGTGCGCATACTTTGTATCCCATCATTGGCCTTAGGTCTACCGAGTCTAAATTCGCTGGTTGTTTTCGTATAACTCGTGCTCTGATGATTGCTGTTTACATACTCCATGCTTGATGGCTCGCTTTTTGTTCATCGGCTCAGAAGCCGGCTAGATACCCTCTGGCAAACTAACAAAAATATGAAAAATCACTATGTTTAATGGGTAAATCCACTATAAATGGGACATGTTCAATAGCTATGTTAGTTTACCAGAGGGTAATGATTTCGTGGTTCTCTTGCATTCCTGATACTTGTTGGTAAACCAGCGGTCACACCCGAAAAAATCATTGGCTCTTATTGGATCATGCCTGTTGGGTATCCATCTGAAGTCTGGTTGATCAATTTGCATTGATTACCCTCTGGTAAACAAACATAGCTATTGAACATGGCCATAGAAATAGTGAATTTTCCGATTAAACATGGTGATTTTCCAGTTCGTTATGTAAACGTTTACCAGAGGGTACCAAGTTACTGGGCCTTTTGGTATAGTCAAAGTCATAAAATTCATGTTCCAGACCACTAATCAGATAAGTAAATCATCTACCTATTGGTTCTTAATTAAGTATTTTTCAGAACCTCAAAATCAACCAACCAGTGGGATTTCCAGGTCTACGAAAAAATGGTGGGTTTTCTGAAAAAAAACGGGGTTCCCCAATGGCTGGATGGTTTATTTCCATGGAAAATCCCATCTTAACATGGATGACTGGGGATATTGCAACCAAGATGGATAGATAAGGCTTTTTTTAAATGGTGGATCCCCAAGTCACCATAGGTTTCAACACTAAAAAAATCAAATTTTGGATCAAAAATGGGGGTACCCCCATGACAAAACGGAAACCTCCATGAAACCCAGCAACCGCGACGGATTCAAGTGTAAAGCCATCCGCGGGCCGGTTGAAGGCGGCATTCCTGCACCACAAACAGTGCGGTTTTCAAGGCGAGAAACAGTGGAAAAATGCCTTCCAAAGAAGAGGATTTGATCAACAACTTGGGCAGTTGGGATGATTATTCCCACTATATGGAAAAATAAACAATGTTCCAAACCACCAACCAGAATAGGAATGGAACGAATCAAACCTAGGATTTTTCAGCACACCTTAGGATTTGACCAGCCAACGCACGATCCCCAGTCAAGGCTTGGAATCAGATGGGTTTTTTTCCCCAGTTATCGATGGTTTTTCCGATCCCATCTGGGCTACGCATTTATGGACCTAAAGCAGATGAGCAAAATCCTGATTTCACAGTCTTTGCTGCCCAAAAAGCAGTGCTTTTTTGGGATGTCAACCACCACGTCTTACAACCTGCAAGCCCAGTCCTCAGCAAGATTGGCTCATCTTTCCTGCAACATTGTCGTCTTTGAGGGACCTTCCGGATTTTCGGAGCAGTTCAACTGGAAGTTACACAACGGTACCCTTTTTGCAAAAGACCTGCCGACGATCAGCTTGGCAGAAACAAAAAAGGGGATATTTTTAGAGCTGAATCAGCATGAATGGAGATACCCTCTGGTAAACTAACATAACAATGGAAAATCACAATTTTTAATGGGAAAACTCACTATAAATGGCAATTTTCAATAGCTATGTTAAATTACCAGATGGTAATACCAATGTGAAATAGAGCTAGACATATGGGTCTTTCTGAAACTTGGCTTATCCCCCAGTCATCATCCATTTAGAAAGATGGGATTTTCCATGAAATAGGTTAACCATCCAGCGAGCTTGGGGATCCCCCCATCGTAGGAAACCCAGAAATCTAACTGATTCATTGTCCATGACAATAAAAAACAACTGGGATGCATTACTTGAGCTAATATCAAAAATCACAGCGTTTTCTCATACGAAGAATGGTTGAAAACATGGTTCCCTTCTATGGGTGATCATCATCCCAAATAAAATACATAGATTTACGTAGAAGTCCCTAGTTCTCACGCAATAAACCATCATTGATAAATTAATTCACTATATCTTTGATTTGATGGTTCACTACAATCACCATAAATGATGATTAAAATTCTTTTGATCGATTTTGATAGCATGTATCATCATAGAAATTCTTATCTATATCGTATAATAGTATATTATATGATATATATATATAGATAACCATATTGATTGTTATTAACATATCATACCATCCAGATAATGGATGATCATCTATAGATAAGAACTAAAGATATGATATGCTGAATAATGGTAGGAGCTATATCATATCTATGATGTCCCCCTTGAGCCCAAGCCTGGATCCTCGGAACTTCACAAAGTCCTGGACAGAAAATCAGACACACGTGTACCTATGTATGGATGGATGGATGTATACAGAATTCTTGATATATATATATATATATTATATTATATATATATTATATTATATATATATATTATATTATATATATTATATTATATATATATATATTATATAATTATATATATAATTCAATATATATATATACACGATATTATATGTATATACGTGCATATATACACATATACACATATTTAATACATATATATATATGTATAATACACGTCTATTCGGTATATGTAGCCAAGAATATGAATGATGGCTGTGGGTACCAGAAAAACTGCCATACTCCACCACCTTGACCACTTATCCCTGCGACTAAACCACCAATTTCTGTGGGCTTAAATCCACCATTTTTCAAAGATCTAGTTCCCAGTTTTCATTCGCAAATCCGTGTTTTTATATGTTTTTATACGTTATGTAAGTTCCACTCACTGTTTTCAATTCCCAGTGTTTATACTAGTTGGATAATAGAATTTCTGCAGATGATCATCCCCAACATGTTGGATAGAATTTCTTCTGTAATCCAGCAGAGGTTTCGCCACTGCCGGACGAAATCCTCGCTCCTCATAGCTCCTGATCTCTTCAATGGCCACCCGGAGCGACGGCTTCCCATCTGTGGGTAAGTCACAACCAGTTGATGCTGGAGAAATCCCATCAACAAACTGGTGAAAAACTCAGTGTTTGAAAGAAATCCTGCACCAGTTGATAGGTACTTTATCCCCACTCTTTATATCTATTTACAGGGTTTCAACCATCCTCTTGGTGGTGCAGGATTTCGCAACCATCCACAGTAGTGTTTGATAGTGTTTGACAGTATGAATAGCTCGCAAAAAAAATTACAGTGTTTGTCATTGTTTTTTAATAGTATGAATAGTATCAAAGCAGTAGCAACAGGTGCAGGATGGCCCATCCACAGTATGTCCATCATATACCCATTCAATCAACACACCCCAGAAACCATGCTGTTTTGTAAGAAATTTATACATATTTTTTCACCACTGGGGTGTCTTTCATGTGGGGATTGGATTCTTCCCCATCTCCTTTCAAAAAGAGGCCCAGTCAACTCATGGGAAGATGGGATTCATCCCGGATCTTTTGTTTATTTTTTGGAGAACCTTGGGGGTAATCATACGCTACAAATTTCAAATGGGAATGAATGGGAATATATGGCTGGTTGGTGGTTGAGCCACCTACTCCTTTGAAAAATATGAGCTCGTCAGTTGGGATTATTGTTCCCAATATATGGAAAAATAAAAAATGTTCCAAACCACCAACCAGATGGGGGTGGTCAATATTCCGGTCGTTACCGCATGTCTTCGTTTCTTGGAGGGTGTATTGTTTTCACGTTTTGAATATTACAACATGTTTTTTTAAACAACACATTGTCGTGTTCGTGGTGAAATCCATATTATCCTCATTCCTTAGGATGATATGGGTATGGATCAATACCTATGAAAATACCATTTTTAGGGGGATGAACATCCATTTACCAGCTATTTTGATGTTCACCAGGGGTACAAGGTTTTGACACACTGCCATATCCCAGTTCTTGACAACTTGACGGTAAAACCAGTATTTCTGTATTTATGATGGTTACACCCAGCCTTTTTTTTGGGGAATGAACCCCCATACCCATCATTGGCAGGTTCAACTAGGTTATTTCCCATCAACTATCGGTAGGTTAGCAACTCCTATTATCACCGTTTTCCTATGAATAAATGTCCATCTTTGATGGTAAAACCAGGGTTTCTGATGTTTCTATCCATCTAAGGAAACCTCCCCCCTAGCCATTCCGTTTAGACACCCTCGCCTCGACGCTCAGCTGCCATGGCGGAAACATGGCAACGCTTTCACCCTCTGAAAAGTCCTAGTTGTACATGTGGTTGGTGGTTGAGCCCTACCCCCCCTGGTTGATGGTAGTTAATATGTGGTTCATGTACTGCTAACAATGCTTAATATGATGGTTATTATATGGTGAATGATGGTTAATATACTGATCTGGTTGGTGGTTGAGCCACCTACCCCTCTGAAAAATATGAGCTCGTCAGTTGGGATGATGAAACTCCCAATATATGGACACATATAATTCATGTTCCAAACCACCAACCAGTATAGTTCATCTTAGTTCTACATTTGACATGTTCGGCATGTACGGCATGTTCGGCATGTTCTACTTAGAGCAGGGGGAAGCTACCCAGCTATTACAATGATGGACAGTGGGGTCCCACTTTTTAACAAAGTGTCTAGCAGGCTCAGCAACCACGAAGCGAAAGTCGTACTTTGATGCCAAGAAATATTCGACTGAAATCGCCTGCCAAGGGAAAGAAAGTGACAATAGCCTAAAATGATTCTGGTCTCCTATAACTACCCAAATGGTAACGAGATTTTGAGCATCAGCTGCCACAAAGCTCTTCCATCGCGGGTTACTCCCAGGGCTTCATGATCATATCCTGTGGCATTCGCCCACGTCTGGATGAAGGGCAAGAGAGCACTTGCGAACCAAAAGACGGTTCGAAATCATACTCGTTTTGAGCTGAATAACCAAACAATAAGCTCTTGAAGATCCAGAATCAGCCTCATTTCTGATGGGATATCAACCATAACAACCATATCAACCAAGTTTGGCTTCGATCCCTGGGCTGATTGAACTAGCATGTTGGTGAAGATCTTTTTTTTTCGCAGGTCCAAACTCCGAATTCTACCACAAATGGGGGGTTTCCATAAATGGGGGTAATTACCCAAAAATGGATGGTTTATAAGGGAAAATCTGATTAAAATGGATGATTTAGGGGTACTCCTATTTTAGGAAACCTCCAAATGGGAAGGTTTCATATTGTTCCTTGAAGAAACACGAGCCTCTTCGGAGCTTCCAAGCAGTACCGGACCAGAAATCAGGTGATCTATGGCGCTCTGCAAAGGCGGTCACCAAGAGTGGCGACTGTAGACATCAACCGCAAACTCAAATTACAACTGTCTTCATCATATGGGGGTTTCCATAAATGGGGGTACCCCCAAATGGATGGTTTATAGTTTATACTGGAACATACCATTAAAATTGATGATTTGGGGGTACCCCTATTTCAGGAAACCACAATATTCCTATCAGAATTCGCACACTTTAAATCCAAAAAATCACAAATTACTTCCTTATTTTTTGTTAGCAATGACATCTTTGACCAACTTATGTTCATCCATACACAAGTAAGTATGGTTATGGGCCGAAACCCTGGTGCCCTAACCTAAAATAGATGGTATAGCTGGATGGTTATTCCCCCAGTCATATGATGATAATAGGTTTTGGCCCATCCCTATATTCGAAGCAACTGTTATGCAGTTCCTTCACCTGCAGTTCCTTCACCTGCATCAATTTCCTATTGTTTTCCGATTGTTATCAGAATAGGTGTTGGCCCATCCTGTAGAAAATTGATGCAGTTCCTACAAGGTGGTGCCCCATAATTAGTTAGCTAAGCTGGTGCAAATAACTCCCATAACTATGGTTTCTGGCAGATATAACTATAGTTAATGGGGTTTATAAACCAACAAGCATCACTGGGGGGCACCATCCTGTATTGTTTTCCGCATCCATTTCCCCCACTCACTCCGTCCTTCGCCTGGAGACCTACCCGGCTGCATGCGATGGCACCTTGGCGAAAACGATGACGTGATGACCGTGATTTTTTGGTGAACAACTGGAAAAACGCCGGCACCCATGACTGGGAAAATCCGGTACAAATTGGCTCATGGGGAAAATCATCGAAGAAATTGGGAGTGGATTTTCCAGCCATGTTTGAACCAACCAGGTGTAAGAGACCAACGGTTTCAGATTCCAATGAGGTATCCCATGTCCTCCCGGCCGCAGGGCTCCCCTTCGACGAGAAACCAGGGGAGTGGTTCTCCGTCCAGAAACCTTGTCACCACGCACTGATGTCCTCCGGAGAATTCCGAAATGTCCTCGCTGTTCTCCGTCTGAAACTCTTCAAGGCAAATCCGCAGCTAACCGCTCACGACAGCATTTCTGTATATATATATACATACACACATGGGTACATATATGGCTCTATACCATTTTCTCTATATACCTATTATACACTTATAATTTATATAATTATATACATATGGCCTTATGTACCTATATACACATATAATTAGAGAATCATATATATATACATAATTAAATAATAAATAAATATATATATATATACAATGTATAAACACAAATATACATACTGTATATACCTATAGACCTATACACCTAGAGATCTATATACCATTATATACCCACATACATATGTAATAATTTGTAATAATATATGTAGATAGGTACATATGTATATAATATACACATGTCACATATACATCTACATATATATATACGGAAGCAAATATATACAAACATGAATACATAAAACATAAATACATATATACATAACTACATAAATACATATATACGTATATACACATATACATATGTACATAATTACCTACATATTTGTATATATATATATATAAATATAGAAAATAGATCATTACATTCCCCAATGAATTGGTTGGTGTTAAAAATGCAATTCTTGCAGGGAACATCTCCATTAATGCAAAATGTGGTTGACAAAATTAGGTGGATAAGTTTCAATCTGTCCAGATCGAATTCTATCCCACTATATTCCCATTACAGTATTACACTTCATTTCATATCCAAGCCATGATGGGTTCTGTGCAACCGAAATCAGTCAATTCACCTTTTTTAATGGTACGGTTGAATGACACATTAAATTTAATTGAAACAACGGCATTATACTCATATGTACTCCCCACTAAAATGTTGACTATACATAAAAGCCCATTATATCCTTTTGTGAGATGGTTAAATCCCAATGTTTGTTGCTTAAATACTGAACCCATCATGTCATATCATTTCATATGTTCGCTAAATACCCATATATACCCATATGTGCTTTCTTGTCATCACACATATCCCCATCAGATACCCATTATAACCAGCATTCTTGTTGGTGAAACCCCATTCTATCACCATGTATCCCAAATTCAATGGTTTAAACTCGCATGCAATCATCATTATATCATGGGTTCTTTACCACTTATTAACCATATCTCTAGTTATATCTTGTTGCTGGCAATTTTTAGGGACACAACTTGGATTTGCTTAAGGGTCCAACAAGAAAACTACCGATAGTCCAAATGGTGGATTTTCGTAGTTTTCCATTGGGAAAATCAAGAAATCATCACATCAAATCACATTAAACAAAGCCAGGATGACGTTCACTCATTGAACATTATTAAACAAACCCTGGATGAAGTTCATTAAGTTACATTAACCAAATCTGGCTGGTGGTTTCAACCCCTCTGAAAAATATTAGTCAGTTGGGATTATTATTCCCAACACATGGAAAAATAAAAAATGTTCCAAACCACCAACCAGATTAAGTTACAGTACATTAAACAAATCACATTAAACAATCAGAATTCCATCCATCGTGCTGGCCAGGTACCCAGCACGAAAGTCACGGAAGGGCCCAGGTCCTTCTCGAGCAGCTCCACCCTGAGGAAATGTGCAACAGGAAGATCAACAACAAACAGATTTCACATGATTTTACCAACACTATTGAGTAGGCCATGGAAATAGACATAGAAATAGAAATACATGGGCAAATTATAATTTTACCTGGGCAAATTATAATTGAAAATGGCAATAGAAATAGTTGATTTACCTATTATTTTAATGGTGATTGTCCATAGTATGTGAAATTACCAGAGGGTATCACATATCCCATCTGGGCAAATTATACTAATTCACTAACCTGAATTGTTGGGTCATTTTGGGATGATTCCTCTTATTAACCATGATTGCAGTAAGGGAGAACAGTGAGGTCGTTATAATTTGCCCAGGACAATGGCTTAGTAAGTCATGTATCAAACAGGATTTCAGGCTCCATCGACCTCCCTAGGGGCCTGGAAGTCGCAATTTTGGAGGGGCTAACGGCAGTAACACTAGTATATAAAGCAATAGGATCCACCCCCAATGACTTACCATTTTTACGGGTGTTCTAAACCATCAAGATATGGGCGGTTTATGACATTGCTGTACTGAGCTTAGTTGGGAATTTCATGAACCCAGCAGCCATGTAGACTGGCAAGAAACATGGGCAGTTGATCAACAACCATGTGGACTCTTTGCCGACGTAGAATTCGGGGTTTAGGCAGCACCTACGCGCGATTTTTATGGGATTTTAAATGGTTTTAACGGAAATTGATCAGCAAACATTTGACGTCTGGATAATGATCAAAAGCATTCAACAAAAACATGTGGATTTACAATCTTAGGCCACACACCAACTCGTGTTCTTCTGGATCTTCATCCCCCTCATGGTATCCCATTGGTTTTGATCTGTTTTTTCCATCCCGATACTGGGTTGTTACGGCGAAAAAGATGAGCGGATTTTAGGTTTATTGGCTCTGGGGTAATGATATATGGATGGACTAGGGGAGATGCTTTAAATATATTAATTTCAATCAAGAAGAAGGGCTTTTGGCTGCTTTGGAAATCTTTTTGAGATCTTTTTGCATCAATTTTTGAAATAGTGTGGGATCTTACCGACAAGAACAATGAGTAAAAATGATGGTAAATAAACAGTTGGACCCTGAAAATGACACATTTTTAATGGAAACTAATCTTCCAAACCCGACAACTGCCAGGGTCTATGTTAATTCACCAGAGGGTAATAATGATGAACAACAGCAACCAAGAAATGTTCGTTCCTTCATTGGTGACAAGACTGTGACGATATGATTCACACTTCGCAAAAAAAAACAC